GAGTCAGCATGTGGGGGTTCATCTTCAGCCATGCATGGTGGCACAGGTCACATAGCACAAACCTCACTTAGTATATTTAAACCTAAGATTCTGTTTTGACTATTTTTAGGTTTTATGTACCTTGTCAAAAATTAATAGCTTTTGTATAAGGAGTGTTTACATAGATCTAGGCCACCATAGGTTAATCTCAAGTCTAGTTTACTATCATTTTAAGTGTTAATTAACTAGTGCTAACCAGATTTTTGACACAATACAGAAGAGCTTCTTTGTAGTCACTCATCCCTCCAGACTGGTTTTGCTAGTAATGGTTATAGATTTGTTGTAAACCTTTTTCAATTGAGAAATACAATGGCTTTTTATTACAGTCTTCCTATGTGACCTGTGGTTTGTAACATTTTTGGTTCGGCTAATGTGTATGAGCAATTAGTTAATTGGTACCTGTATTGACACTAAGGTTCTCAACACACAAGGACCTATTTAGTGGCTGCTATCTTTCCTTGTACTAATTAGCATATCAAAAGAATACAGCATAATGATAAATTATACCAGTGTTTACTTTCATTTCCAAGGCTAATTGTTGTGTTTTTTCTTCCACGCCATTTTGATATTTGCAGAGAGCCTCAATTGAGAATAGTTATATAAATGAATCATTATGATGTAAACAGAAATATTGATTTTTAGTTTGTGAATTCATGCCTGATACCATGGTTGAGATTTGAGTTTTCTTTAATAAAATCTTTAGTCATTGACTTAAGGAGCTAAAGAAATAAACATTAGGAATCTTACTAATTGAGAGAATTTTCTATTTAATTGTATCAGTCTTAAACTGTGGACCTAGAAACAAATATTTTGCACATTTGAAAAGCAAGCAGTGGTTAATTCCATTCACTTACTCATTCTTTCCATCATTCTTGCATTAATTGTTTTTTTTTCCAGTTGGTGTGCTGTGTGCATACTTTGTTCCAGACATGGTTGGATGCAAAAATGAACACAAGAAGCTTTCAGACTCTAAGGAGTGAATTCCAATGGGGGATGTTTACCATAAGCCACAGAAACCCCTGTATAGGTTAAGTGCTGAGCCTGTACCACTATTAAATCTCAGCAAAGAATTGTGGCCTGGCTTGCTCTCTATATATGTATATATCTCACTGCCTTACACATTTTTATATAAATGCAGAAGACAATATTTAACTTTAGCATGGGAGCATCTTTTCCCTCATTTTAGCCTGTGGCAGTTTCAGATGGTACAGATAACAAGCCCTGAAAATGTATACTTGTACATTTAAAAATGTCCCTTACTGCATTATAACCATCCCTTGTTTTCCAAATGCTGCCATTAGTGGTTACAGTAATCATCTGTAATGTTAGCTTCTAAGAACCGTGGTACAAGAGCTTCTTTTCTGGTTTCCCAGATGGGAGGGAACACATGTACAAGCCTGTTAGAGTAGCAGAAACTAGAAACAGCACTGTGTGGATTTGTATTTTTGGAGCTCTTTAGGCTTATTTAAGCAAACTTAAGTATCCATTAGGAATCAAATGCCAATTCAGGGAAAACACATGTGCTACTCCAAGAGGAATAAAACATTATGGCAATTCATGAAATGAACTTCTGAAAATAACTAGTTTTATATTGAGACCTGTGTTTCATGTGATTTTTTGTAAGACATCAGATGATAAATGTTGATTATGTAAACCTGATTCCTTTTCCTTTCAGGACTTTAAGCATTTGTTTTTTACTAAAATAATAGTGAAATGGAAAGTTTAAAAGTAGGAAAGAGAAATAAATAATTACAAATGATCCATATGTGCATAGAACAAAGTTGCTGGTGAAAAGGGATTTCAGTGGTTCTTGGTATTTTGGTTTGTTTTTTGCAAGGTTTTGTGATTTGTAATCATAGCCTACAGCCTTGACCTTTCACAGGAACTCAGTACTTGGGAAATACTATTATAAAGTTAGTGTTATTTCTTTTTTACTTTTTTTCTAATGGTGACCAATCTATAAATAAGATTATTTCTGCACTCATAAAATGAATTGTTCCTGTGAATGTGATTTTTTTCCAACCTTTAGCTTCGGTAGATAATGAGTTATATGTTATATAATCAGGTAGTTTCTGTTTGTGAGAATCCTCAGTATTTTTAAACTTTCCATGCTCATTTTACAAAAAGTAAAATTCAAGGTTGATTATTTTATCATCTGTAAAAGCGCATGCAGTGAGAGCTAAGTTCACATTCGCTGGGCTTTCCTGGTAGACCACAGTTGGGGAGCAGCAAGGAGCATTCCTTACCCTCCAGACTTGACAGCAACTGTTGTAAACTAGATTCCTAGGAACCCTGGTAGTGGAGACTAAAGGTCAAGAATTACCTTACTTGTTGACTTATTTATTCATTCAGAAAACATTGGGTGGCATCCTTTTGCCAGGTAATATGTTAAGATCTGCCTCTTACCCACTCACCTTCTCCCGAAAACAATACTGTGTTTCTTCTGCCAGCTAAAAATGTATTCCAGAGTTATAAAATCATACTACTATTAAAAACTAGAGAAACACTTGTATAACCTCAAAGTTATTGATCAGGTTTATTTAACTCTGTAAAAATCTAAAGTTTTCTGTGATGAGAGAAGAAAGCCCAAAATAAAAGGTTAAAAAAAAAAAAAAAAAAACCAACTAGACTGCAAGAAAATATTTTAACACTTGGGAAATGAAAGAATTAATAAACCTACTAAATAACTACAAAGAACAAATACCTTAAAAAACATGTAATGAGTTTGATTAGGAAATTTGCAAAAATGAAATGTGTAAGAAATAAGTGAAAAGTTGCTCAGCCTCCTCATTGAATCTGGATACTGTTTTCCAGCTCTCAGATTTCCAACATTAAAAAGAATGACAGTAGCCAGCATTATCCATTTATTGTGGATGAGGGGAAACAGGCTCTCATATTGATGCTGAAATTTTTGAGCCCAAATGTGAATTGCTGCAAAATTTTCAGAAAGAAATAAATTCTATTGTAAGTTGAAAAAAAAAACTCGTAACCCAACACATTCAATTTTAATTGTCTATTAAAGAATGCAGGTCTAATCACTGAGAGATATATCTAAATACACACAAGAATATTTATTGGAACACTATCAAGTGGCTACAAATTAGGAACAACCTACAGGTCTGTTGCTAGGGAAATGGTTAAATAAAAGATAAATCCACACCGTGGAATGTTATGTGGCTATTTAAAAAGCAATTGGTAGAGTGATATGTATAATATGATCCCATTAGGGAAAACAAAGCAGAAGGTTAAAGAACTGTTTATATGCAAGTGTGTGTTTTATGAGCACAGAGAAAGAAAGCTGTTTAACACTACGAGTATTGGTTACCTTGAAGGGAAGTAGAGGCAGGGAGTGGGCTCTAAGAGCTGCTTCTTTATAAACCTCTGTGTGGTTCAACTATTAAAATAAGACTAATTTTTATAATGAAAAACTTAAGAAGTTTAAAGATAGTGGACGGAGAAGTAGCCAAAGAGTCAGGAGAATGTCGTTTTTTAGAAACCAACTAACCAGCAAACAAAGTGTCCGGAGATCAGGGCTCACCATGTCAAATACTGTTTCAGTATCAAGGAGGAAAAGGGCAGAGAAGCCGCTGCAGTGTTTAGTGGGTGGCCTGGCGGGGACTAGCCTCGAGCTGTAGTGTGTGTGGGCTGTTGTAGTGGGCTAACGGATGAGAGGGAGGGTAGTCAAGTCAAGAAGTAAAGACAGCTCATTTAAGGAGAAGGATGAGAGAGAATCAGAGGAGTATGTAGAGCCCAAAGAGATTCATTTCTTTCTTTAAAAAGTTATTTAGTTTGGGAGAGGGGAGGCTATGGCCTTTCTTATAAATACATGCTGTAGTTGTACATCGTGAGCACAGTCTGAATGTGTTCCTGCTGGTCAGGGTGAGTGTGCTGACCAGCCCTCAGACGCAGGAAGTGAGGGGATGGGGCTGCAGACAGGAGGACGTCGTGTCTGGGGTCTTCTGTGTCTGGCCACAGTGAGTCTGCACTTGAAGCTTGGACCTACTGGTGGGCTGCTGAACCCACAGGTACCTGTGAGCTGGTGTGAAAACACAGGGCAGTTTTTATATTTGACATGGAGTCACTACCATGTTACTAAGGGTTACTGATATGTGGTATGTATAAATTGACATCAACAGCTCTTAATAGTTATTTTTATTTAGTATTTAATTCAGAACTGGCAGACACTTGGTAGTTGGCAAAAATCATAAAGCAAATGGACATAAATTTCCTTAGTTTTGCTTCAGGACACTTTATGTCTCATCAGTGCTAACTTGAGTTGGTTATGACAGCCCAGTGCTGTTGTTCTTGCCTTTTAATTATAAACTACAGTAAACTAGGCTTTCTCAGGATTGTGGTTAACCTCAGCATACACGTTGGTATGTTGGTCAGTGTTGTGACACTTGGATCAATAATGGCTTTATCTTACAATGTTCTTAACTGGGCATTTAAGATACGTGCTTCTTGTTCCCATATAAGCCATCTATGATCACTTTAATAAAGTAGATGTGTCCTAATCTCTTGCCATATGCTTAATTGATGGCAATATGTTTAAATAACATAAAATACATAGAGATGGGATTAATGAAATTATGGAATAATTTAATATTTTGTTGGTGTTTTAGGATATAAGGTGTGATAATGGAAATATACTTCCTGCAGTTAGTTAGCAATATTTTTATTGAATTCTTCGTCACCACCGGTTTTACTCTTCTCGCCCACCTGAGACGTGGGGCCAAGTGAGATGGTGGGGGTCTTATGGGAGGCTGCTCAGAGACTCTGAGGGCCACCGTCCGGAAGGAGGAATGGCGGGGGCTGTTGCCAAGGACGCAGCAAGCTCCTTGGCTGGAATTAGAGAAACTGAAACCCCAGCTTCCGTGCCAGTGGACCTTATCCACGGACTCACAGAAAATGAGCACCCAGAGAGCGGTACTTATGACATTATGTTTTTCACTTTGTCTAAGGATGTAAACGAAGATCCTGGAGAAGATGTGGCCCTCCTTTCTGTCAGTTTCGAGGACACTGAAGCCACCCAGGTGTACCCCAAACTGTACTTATCACCACGAATTGAGCAGTAAGTATCAGCATCTTCACGTTATATCGCCCGGTTCTCCTGCTTGCTAACCAGTAGGAGACCCTTTGTAGTTGGCAAAAATCATAAAGCAAACAGACATAAATTTCCATAGTTTTGCTTTTTTGGCACACATGAACTGTTAAAATTATTTCTCTTTATTAATTTTTGTTTCCTTAAAAATTTATTGTAGTTGAAGTTTTGATTGTAGAGTACATATAAGATAGTATTTGCTGCTGTAATTTTTTCGTGGATTTTATTTGTGAAATTTATAGTATTCATACTGTGCCTCAGAATACTTGAGAGAAAAGTAGATAGAGGAGACCCAAAATTATGACTCTCTCCAGATGTCCCCTGGGGTTCAGATGGCTTTAACCTAAGGAATACTGCTGAACAAGTCTGACCTGACTTCTTTCATATTGGTAACTTTAAAGTTATTTGTAAAAATATAACTAGCCTCTTTAAACTATTAAGCAAAAACATTCAGAAGTTACTGACAGTAATATGAAAATCAAGCAGTTTAACAGTTTGTCTGAACTCTGTCTAATAACTGTACATAATTTCATGCAGCAGCCAGCTACGTGGTGAAGTAGTTTGGTTTCACAGTTGTGTTCCAAGTCCAGAAATGTTACTCGTCAGTAAGGAGTTTTATAAGGACCAGCTTCCCATGTGCTTATTGTTGGCTAAATGCTTTAGTAGCTTTTTCTACTTCAAAGGAGGCTGAGGTTCATAAGTAGATTTGGTTGAGAACTTCTGACAGGGCAGATTTTTCATGTGCAAAGTGAATTTTTGCAGACTCTGACATACATTATTACAGTTCGCTGTAAGTCATTTAGTCAAGGTTGGCCGATTCTGCCTGTGAGTGGATGTGGTCACCGTCCAGCATTCGTATGCTGAGCCATTTTCACTCCTTCTGGCCTTATTCGCTCTAAGTTACGATTCCCAGGCGTCCCAAACTGCCGTGCTCCGGCTCCTGTGCTTACATGTGGGAGATGGGGGATTCTCTCGTGTATGTTTGTATCCCCAGCAGCACCCAGAACAGGATTTTAGAGTAGCAGGTGCTCAGTGAACATCGTGTTTTGCGATTGAAAATACTGACCGTGGTAGTAAGAGGCTGTAGGCTGAGTTGCTCGAGGTGGCACAGTGAACTGTACGAGGCAAAGGCTCCCGAATCCAGGACACACGCTTCAAATCCAGATTCTGCCTCTCACCAGCTGGCACAGTATTTAAGATCTCTGAATTTGTGTCTTCAGTTATCCAATAGGAATAATAACAGCTATTTCATAATGTTGTTTTGAGGATCATATTGAATACTGTCAATAGAGCATTAACTGTGCTGCTGGCACTATAGCAAACATTCAGCAAATAGTCACTATTAGTGCTGTCATTATTACAGGAGCAGTTATAGCAGAAGAACAAGTGAGTGAGTGGTTAGCAGCGACAAATTGGCGCTCAGAAGGAAAGAATGGGTAAATAATTGAGCAAATTCTGGTTCTGCAGTAGCCATGCAGCACTCAGGAGGCTGAGTCAGGAGGATTCCAAGTTTGTGGCTGACATGGGCAACCGAACAAGACTGACTCAAAATAAAACTTTTAAAAAGGATTCAGAATGTAGCTCAGAGACTAAATAGCTTTATTATAAGTGGAGCCATGGGGAAAAGCCTATAGTTGCCAATAAACAAATAAATAAAGAGTTAATGAAACAATCTCAAGATGTAGGGGAAATTAATACAATAATACCTTGATTCTTGAACTTAATTTATTGTATGATTTTGGAAAAGATGGCCATGGTTGTGTTTGTGTGGGGAAGATGGCCACGGTTGTGTTTGTCAATTGATAACAGTTTGCAAACAAAAGCAAAATTTTGCCGAATGTTTCTGTTTGTGAACCATATTGTTTGCAATCAAAAGAGTTTGGTGGACTGAGGCACCTCTGTATATTGGTTATGCTGTAGATGAAAAGCTCAGAAAAACAATTTTTCCATCAGTCAAATTATTTTTCTTTAGAGTTCCTGTGCCTAGTTTGCAGATAAAATAATTTTCACTCTAGAAATCTAGGAAACAGTGAGAAAAACTAGTGAGCAAGTGTGTGCTTTGAAAGTTATTTTTGTTATTTGTAAAATCTTTCAGCAGCTCCTCCTCCTTTACGTTAAAGGCCGGGTATATCATGTCTTTCAGGTGTGTTTTCTCTTAGTACTTGCCTTTATATACTCTGTCCTTGGTCAAACTTGTCTGCAGTTTTCTCAGCCCATCTCTAGTCTGCCTCTGTGCCTTTGCAACAGCTGTTCCATATGCAGCACCCTTCTCTGAGCCCTTTTCCTGTTGAAATAGGTATTTCCCAAGGCTTTGCTCAGCTATCGTCGCTGGGAGCCATTTTCCCTAACATTGTTAGTCTGGCCTTCCCTGGGTCTGAATTTATATTAACCTTATAATTTATCACATAGGTTTAGTTTGTGATGCACATTTTTAAAATCTTTTGCTAAATTGCAAGCTACTTAGGGTAAGGAACAAGTCTTGTCATTGCTTTTTGGTTTTGTTTCTGTTTTTGTGACACGGTTTCACTGTATAGCCCAGGCTGGCTTTGAACTCACACTAATCCTGCATGCTGGAATTACTGGCTTGTGCCACTATGCCCAGGTCTTATCATTGTTTTAATACCTTGTACAAATACAACTTAGAGTGACAATTGCCTAATTGGCAGTCTTACAGGTTAAAAAGTAATTTGCATGAAAAGTTGGAAACTGCACTTAAAGGTCTTAAATGTTGCCTAGTTGCTACAAAACCACTTTGTATAACTGTATTTATACTACCAAAGTAAACAGCCAAAAGTTCTGATATTGTTTTTGTTGTTTTATTTGGAACCAGGGATTGAACTCATGACATCACACTTGCCAGGCTGGTGCTTGTGCTGCTGAGCTAAATCCCCAGCCCAGTTCTGATATTGTTAAGTGGAAGTTTTCCAAATGAGGTTTCAGAGAAGGGCTAAAATGCTAAGTAGTGAACCTGGGCGTGACTTCGTAAGGGTTTATATATTTGCTAAAGGTATTGCAGTAGTTCTCCCCCTTTCACTTTCTGAAACTCTGTCAGCTGAAATACTAAATGGAAAATTAGAGAAATAAACAACTCATCAAATTGCATGACTTTCTGAGTAGCACGATCCCACTTTATCCTGCCTGGCATACAAATCTTCCCTTCGCTTAGCATTTCCATACTGCGTGTGCTGCCTGCCTGTGAGTCACTTAGGATCTATCTTAGTTATCTTTTTGGCCATCGTGGTGTCGGAGCACTTTGTTGAAGCAATCCTTATTTTGTTTATAATGGCTCAAAAGTATAAGAACAGTGATGCTGGCATTTTACATATGTCAAAATAAAAACTGTAGATTCCTTCCTATAAATTCTCCACTTAATAAGGAAAGAATGAAAAAGTTATATGTGAGATTACTAAGATCTACAGTAAGAAAAAGTCTTTTAGTCATGGAGTGGGAGGAGAACCAAGAAGCCAACCTCTTCATGTCAGCCAGCTGGAGTCCAGGCTGGGAGACAAAAGGCACACCCACCCAGCCCTGTGAGCAACTGGCTCATTTGGAGGAACACAGGCTGAGATGATAGCTGCTGAAGTAAAAAAAAAGTAATAACTTAATGCTTGTATTGTTTGATTGGCTTTGCAGGCCTAAAGCTGGTGGTCTGAGCATCTATTTAGAGGATAACAGTATGCAATATAGCGACTATGGGGCATTTCCTTCTGACTTGTTTTTGATATTCAATATTGTTCTCTCTGTTTTGTTTGGTTCCATTTTATTGTTTTATTCTCTTTAAAATAAAGAAATAGAATAGATTAGAATAAAAAAGAAACAATAAAGTAAAGAAATAGAATAAAGAAAAAATTTTCCTATTCATGAAAGTGTAAAGAAGGAAAAAGAAATTCACGCTAGTTTTGTTGACATGCCTCAGACTGTAAAAGTTTTGTACTTACTCTATTATACTTACTGCTGTTAATTTCTTACTGTGACTTATTTACCATAGGTGTGTATATATAGAAAAAAACTGTATTTAGGGCTTGGTACTGTCTGCAGTTTCATAATCTAGGAGAGGCTTGGCACATACCCTGTGGATAAGAGGGTGCTGTTGGTTTGGTTACTGTTTTCAGTTTGGAGCATAGGACAGAAGTAGTGCCATTTTCGTAAGACCACAGCCCTTGGTGGTTTTTAAGGACGTAGTAAAGAGAGGTCGGTATTATCTTTGATACTGTGTTGAGCTCTTATTTGTCACCCATGTTTTATGATGGGCAGTCAGCTCTTAGCTACCCAATCACTGATTATAGACTCAGACACAGAATTCTTTGGGGGAGTTACAGGCAAAGGATCCTGTGTGGACCACCTAGCACTGTTACTCCCTGAGCTTATCCTAGCTCGGACTTGCACTCTTATGGCTTCTGCTGTGGCTCTTTCTAGGAGGTCCCCAGCCCTGTGCATCTGACATGCAGAGGCTCAAGGGAGACCAGTAGCCTGATCCCCAGGAGGGAAAGATTGTCATGTGAAAGCTTACATTCCCACATCTTGGTGCACTGGCAGAAGGAGAAACCTTAAGCATAGCAGAAAGCCCCCTCTGTCTGGTGATTGCTGCTCTCTCCCAGCTTGTCCAGGCACTACTGAGGTGAAGGAATTATGCTCACATTAACTAGTTCCAAAAATAGGGAAAGAAAAACGGGCTTGCCAACACATGTAGGAAAAGGGATCAATTTGTTGTATCCTAAAATTTTCTAAAGATATGAATACCAAATGTCCCCAAATTAGACAGTCCTAACAAAAGGGAACATCTGTCAGTTACATTGGTAAAAAATTCTAGTTTGATGAAGCCCTGAAATGCAGTCCTACTTCTGAAGTCTGCGTGTTTACTCCGGTCCAGCAGTAGTTGTCAGGGCCTCTGACAGCCCTGGCCCGCATGGCTGTTGCCCTTCTGGTGCTGAGATTGCTATTGTTTTCATGACACCCACTACCTATTACATGGCTTGTAGAGTAGATACTTTGGAGAACTTTGTGTTCTTGTGCACAGGGATGTTTATGCAATAAACATATTTCAGCCCCTATGCGTTTGTTTTCCAAAGATCCAAAACTTAAATTTGGCACTAAGTTCTGTTCATTTTTTAAAAAATTTTTGGTGAGTTAATACAAAAACACTAGTGGGTGATGCAAAGTAGATTGTGGTTGACTATTAGGAAAAAGAAAAAATTAGTTTTTAAACCAGTTGCCTTTTTTTCCTGGCAGAAAAGCTGTAACTCCTATGGTTACATCATCAGAGCTGGCACTGAACGTGCCCTGCCTTCCCCTTGTTCCCAGGCTGTTGGCAGTTCCTCCAGGGAAACCAAAGGTGAGATGGGCATCGGAGACTGTGCAGTCCTCTTTCCTGAGAGATGTGGGCGCTTTCCTTAGTGTCAGCCAGTTTGTGGAAGTGGTTTGAAGAAAACCAGCTTCCATCACTCCCTATGCTGTTCCCACTCGGTGCATAAAAAGACATCAGCCCGAGGCAGACCAGGTGGCATCTTTCTCAAGTACAGAGTTTGTTTTTAAAACTTTCTGTTGTTAGGTTACAGTCTGCCTTGGAACTAAGTACTCAGAGCCTGCTGGCCCATAAATGCCCACTATGAATGAGGCCTGTAGGCCTACAAATATACATGGGTTCTTTCTTTCAGCACCAACAGCCAGTGAGGACTGACCAAGTGTACAGTCCATTGCTGGGTGCTTCAGGGGCTGTAGATACAATACGGCCCATGCCTCTATTTGCTGAAAATACAGTAAAGGGGATAAAAACAGGTATGGCAAATTGCAACTTGTAGTTTAGTAAAAAAGACACAGTAAGATTTGGCATCCAAAGCCTTCTGTTCCTCTACTTATTGGTGGGAAATCTTGGCTCAGTTACTTAACCAAAGCTTCATTTCTTCTTCTGTGTTGGGGAGTTGCATCTATCCCTGTGGTAGGGAGGGCCTAATATGGTGCTTGGCTGACGTTCAGTGCTCTGTTAGTCTTCTCAAGTTTTACACATATCTGAGGATATACTTCCTAATACTGTAAGAGATCAAGGAAGGAAGAAATCACATTTCTGTTTCACTTGGTGGAGAGAGGGCTTTGGAAGATTTTGGAAAGCCTGGCTCTTCCAATGTTCTGTGGCTTCTCAAGAGATTAAATATTTAACACTGTGAAAAAATAAGAATGTGTCTGTTTAGTACTTTAAAATGTTCAAACTGCTTTTGCTGTAGTGTTCCACCTAATCCTCCTGCTATCTTCCTAGCATTTGCTTATGCTCCCACAACATGATGCCCTCTCCCTCCAGGGGGCTAATACATTTCTGCTTTGTGCCAGCTTCCTCTTACTACTCCCTCGCCCTCCTCAGTGCCCAGGGGCTCCATCTCAAGGCATCTACCCCACCCCACTCCCCTGAACCAGCCCGGAGTTTCGTACCAGCAGTGAGCTCTCTGCAATGTCTGTCATGCTTCATCATTCCTACTACCATTACTTGACTTGGTCATTCAGGTGCCATGTCACTTCTTGACTTTTAATCTGTTCCTATTTAACTTCCCGTTTATTCCTGTTTAGTGCACAACGGTGGCCATCTTCCTGAAGCACATTCCGGTCAGTGTCCTTGCTCAGGCCATCCGTGCCGCGGGTGTTAGCTGAACTGGCACTCAGCTCTCAGTTAGGCTTTCGAAGAGTTCTGTGTTGCCGTCCAGCTTACCCTTCCACCCTGTTCGGACTGTCCGTGTGTGCTGTTGTTTAACCAAGTTGAGATTTTCGCGATTTCCTGAATGTGTTGCTCAGACTACCCGTGAGAACACAGATGTATTTCCCGTTCCTGTTAAAAGTTCTGTTCATCTTCCCAGATCTTCTCTTAGACCTTCTTCGCGGGACTTTGCCAGCCACACTTTTCCTTCCTGTGTCCTCAGTTGTCATATTGTCTCTCAGGACTATGAGCCCCTATTTCCGTAAGCTGAGGCCCAGTGAACCGTGGCCCATCTCCTGCTAGTGTGGCCCTGCCTTGGCCCCACACTGTGCCTAGCAATGGTCTCTTAGGACATGTGGCTAACTATATTCCACAGAGGCTGAAATAAACTAGGACTTGATGAAAACCTACAAAAAGGGGAAAGGGAGCTAAAGTTAAAATAATACTACTTAAAATTATGATTGAATAAGGACATTCAGATAAATCACATGAAATCAGTTTTTAATGGAATAAGTGAATTCATTATATTGTAATTTTACTTAAGTGTACTACTGAATTCAGCATGTACCATAATGGGTCATTTTCATTTTAGATACTCAAAAGAATTTTAGAATAATTAGAGAAATTGTGTAATTCAACAAAGATAGACTTGAAAGAAAAGATAATTCTCACCTTTGAAAACTCTTTTATCAGTTGTCTGAAAAGGAGACCCTTTGATCTCTTGAGGCAATTTTGTGTCAGGATTTAAGCAATAGTGCATCGTAGTAAATGTGGTTTAATTTAGCCTTACTCATGTTTACTGGAGTCACTCAGATAATCCTATAATAAATATTACACTCCTGGAGAGGGTTTTTCCTTTGATAAATACGCACTCCAGCGTGTGCTGAGACAGCCAGCTGTCAGGGGAGCTGTGTATTTAGTTTTGGTGGAAGAAGCTGTCTTAGCCCTCAGGGACTGGAGACGTTCATTTCACTAGGCTGGGAGCAGGGCCAAAGGCTTCTTTGCGACTTAGAGTGGAATTCTGAAGAGTTCAGCAAGTTTTCATTAGTGAGTTTGGGCCTTTGTCTTGCCCGTGCTTCTCAAAAGATCAAGTGATCAGCCTTTTTGTTTTTTTAAGCATTATCAAAAAAAAAAAAAAAAGGAATTTAGTTGGAGAAAATCAATCTCCAAATATATGTTTTGAAATACTATAATACAAAGCTTCCACCTCCCCAACCACTTAAATTAGTGATAGTGCAGGGTTTTTACTTAGTATTTTTTTAGGCAGAAAATACATTTAAAAAGAAGATGTACATACATCTGTGATAATTCAAGTCTGTGTGATACATGTGTCTTAAACTTGTTTGACCCTTAGGTTTTGTTTACTGCCGTATAGTATTTTTGTGCCTTATTTCTCGTAAATTCTGCTTTTTTGCTCTACAGTGTAATGATGACTCTAAAACTGTAAGATGGGTTTTTATTTATAAAGTCAAGCCTATCATATTTCTGCTAAACGTCTCAAGGGTTTTGATCAGAGTTTTTTTGCCATTATGAAGATGAGACATTTCAGTTCACTATTATCTTTCAATAGCAAAATTCTAACTATTGATCATTACTGTTTTGTGCAGTCACTGTTGATTTATATTTACTCACAAGAAGAAAGATATTTCTCAGCGGACAGTCTGAGCGTGAAGTGGTACTTAACAAAAGCACTGGTTCATGTTATGAGTAAGAAAAAAGAAATTAGAATGTGGAAGAAGAAGGTCCTAAAATGTTCCTGTACTGATGAATAACAAGCCTTCAGCTAAAGGAAGCACTGTAAGTTTTAAATAAGCAAAGTAAAAGACATTGACACCTACATGCAAAATGAAACTACAGAACCTTGAACTTTTTTGGTCTTTTTCATTTTTATCGGTACCAGGGATCGAACTCATGACCGCACACTTGCAAGGTAGGCGTTTATGTTGCTGAACTAAATCCCCAGCCCCCAGAACCTTGAACTTTTATTATATACAAAGCCGACACGTGTTTAAAGGTTTAGCAGATAATGCAGATCTCTGAAAAATCTTAAGAGCCATTGACTTTATTCCAGAAAAATGAGCAGAACTTTAAGAGTAGGATATCCTCCGAAAGCAGTCCGTATCTCACTTAAGATCCTTATTCTAGATTGTTTTCCATGCTTTCTAAACTGTGTCAAGCTAGAATCATCACAGTAGCTTCAAGTCTGATGCCTAAAACACAAATTATCACCTAACACCGCCTCTCTCCTGTCTCCAAAATCTACTCTTCTCCTATGCGATTTTCATTAATGGCTTTATCACCCTCCCAGTAACCCCGGCCAGGACACTAAGCCTCCATTGTTTTGTCCTTCCCCTTGCCGTTTTCTATCTTAACAATTGCTTGCTGATTTTGCTTCCGTATTAGGCTCCCGTGTCACCTCTCCCTCCTCCCTGACCCTGTTCAGGTCTCTGTAGCTCACTGTTTGCCACACATTAGTAATTTTTCTAAAGCGTAGTGTCATCCCTGTCACTCCCTTGCTCGGTACCCTTTGTGCCTCTGCTGGACAGGTCATGCCACGGCACGATGCGTTGTCTTGAGGAGCCTCAGTGCCACCAGGCTCTTAGTCCCCTGTGTACCAAGTCTCCTGGGCATCTGAACTGTAGGTACTCCTGGGGGTTCTCCTCAATTTGGAGGAGTGTAACTTTCTACTTTGTTTAAAATTGTTACCAACAGTTTTACTCCGGGTTATCTGGTGGCACCGTGTCTGCCTGAGTTTTGTCTTGATTGTTCCGGTTTTCCAGGGGCTGACTCGGATTGTGGATGCACTGTAAATGACATCCTACTGATATTCCAGATGTGTGGCTCCTGAAACTGTTTTACTTTTCTTTATTTGTTGTGCTTCTTGATTAAACTTATATCATTTAAGATCACTTATCTGAGCTGCTGTCGTCTCTAATTGGACTGTTGACTAATTTCTCCACTTCAGTCATTACCACACTGCAGACAGAGTGATCTTTTTAATACATGAATCTGATCTCATCATACTCTTGCTCAAAAGAAAAGCTAATTATTTTTCCTCGTAAATGATCACTCATCAGCCTTATCTAACTCAGTGCTTCCTCCATATCTGGGCACGGTGCTCTCCTTCTCCTCCCACTTGCATCCAGCCTGTCATCAGATTCTAGCGCTTCTTTCTCATGCCATCTTGAAGTCTGAATTCTACCAGGTCTTTAAATGCCTCTCACCTATGGTTTCAGTTAAGTTCTCTTTAATCTTTTACATTAAATATGTGATGGAAGTAGGCAACAGTATATAAAAAGGTGACTTAAAATTATGAAATGATAGTTTTCAACCCCGTGAGGCAGGGAGAGGCAGACCTGGCATCTATCTCTTTCCTCTTCCGGCAGGGCACAAATCCCATCAGGGGGACTCTACTCTCTTGACTGTACCTAAACCCGATTGTCTCCCAAAGGACACTGATTCGTCATCTCATCACTTTGGGGATTAGAGCCTCAACATAAGAATTTTAGGGTGACAAATATCCATTCGATCTATAACAAACATGTGTGCATGTGTGCCTGTGCAGCATACCCAGCATGTGTTCATTGCAGACTGGGCTTATCAGTGTGCATTCAGTTAGTAAACATGTCCTGAACCCAGGACCTTGGGCCGTCATGAGCCAACAGATTGGGAAAATGAATGATCATTTTTTCTAAGAATCCTTTGTTTAAGTTTCTTGATATTTTTTGCACAAGAATACATTTTGTCTTTCTTTCCTTTGCATTTCTTTTCTTTTTTCTTTCATTCAAAATAGCTAACGTGACACCTATGTTAGGAAGCAGCGTTGACCCCTGTTGTTTCATCTCGTAGTGTGATGACAGATTCATGTAGTGCTCTACCACTCTCTTGCCTCCCTGCCGGCAGGCACCCAGTTTGCTAATCTAGTTGGTAGTGGGACAAAAGAACTCCAGAGGGAGTGAGAGCCAGGATGCTGAAGCCAGCACGATGGCACTTTGCTCTTGAGTTTCAGTCTTGGCCTCCATGAAGTTCTTGTGAGTTGTATCTCTTCTGCAGAGCTTCTAGCTCCCAGGTGTTCCACTGCTTTCTCATGACAGGGTTTCAGCTACACGCTAATGTGTGAAGGGGCTATTATACTAATTATCATTTACTTAGGTTTTAAAACACAATGTAGATGGGGTAAGTAGACGTGCCATTTGAGTTTTAAGAATAAAATGTTTCTCCCTAGAAACTGTATAGTATGTTTTGTCCATAGCTTAGTTTCAAAATGTAATTATTTAGCGCCTAAGGTAATAGCCTGGTTTCTGATTACAAGTGTTGGGTGTGAGTGGGTAATGACTAAGGCTATTAATGTGTAATATGCATATATAAAGTGAAATCCCCTTGCTGTTGTTTTGGAGGGAAAATCCAATGCCAGTGTTGTCAGATTTTATAGTGTGAAGTTTTTATTAGAAAGTATGTAATATTTGACCCCAGTGTGTCTGATTTTGAGTCCCACAACAGAGAACTAATGATTGTGTTAGAGTGTTTCTCTCCTTGTTAAATGCAGACACGCTGTCTTTCACTAGCAGTTCTAACGACTTACCAGGACCATAAGAGGGGATGAATGTCCCTTCCATCACTAGATGTCATCCTTCATAGTTTTAACAAAATAGAGCTTATTCTTGGAAAATTCTGAAACCTACCACCTTGCTAAATGTTAGCTGACCCAGACCATTAATTTGACATCAGTGAATATTTTATGTTACTCACAGTGTCTTTTATTCTACATGCAAAGAACTTTCCCGTCTTGCCTTTTAATCCCTCCTCTCCCTGCTCCACCCTAAACTTTAAAAAGTATGATGTAAGATTGGGTTGTTTTGTGCCAAGTTTTCATCCTGGAACAGATTTTTATAGCCATGTTTCCCTGAGAAAAGGAGTTTATGACCAAATGGTGATAACACTTTCATGTTCTCATTTTTTTCCATAACCTAGTACTTTTTCCTAACTTTAACTGTTTCAGAATTTAGTATGACCAATTGTGTTTTAAACCTAAGGAAAATTGTTTTGACAGTTTTGAAGGTCTTATTAATTGTAATACTATATTGAGATTCCTTGCAAAAACAGACTTAGAGAATGTCATTTTATGTATGTATGTCTGTATGTAGTTGGTATCAGGAATCGAACTCAGGACCTTGTGCTGTGCTGCTGAACTATATCCCTGGCCCAAGAATGTCATTTTAAATTTGTAGATTTTTTTTTGTTCATATATCAATTAAGCCCCTTGGAATATCTGTGTAGGCGTTAGATATTTCAGTAATTGACCTTTATTATTTTCATTGTTAGAATTATTTATTTACATTTTGAATGGATAAAGAGATTGTGGCACACACACATACACACATGCGTGCATGTGTGCACAAATATTATTCAGCCATGGGAAAGGAAATATTGCTTGGGGATTTAGCTTAGTGGCAAGTGTGAAGTCCTAAGTTCAACTTCTGGTACCAAAAACAAAACAAACAAACAACAAAAACCCAAAAGTAGGAGCTGGGGATTTAGCTCAGCGGCAGAAGCACCTGCCTTGCAAGCAGGCAGTCGTGAGTTCGATCCCTGGTACCGATAAAGAGGAAAAAGACAAAAAAAACCCCAAAAGTAATAGTGCCGTTTGCATGAATAGTGTGGAGGAACAGGAGACTGGGATGCCAAGTGAAGTAAGTCAGGCACAGAAAGAAAAGTGCCACATTATCTCACTTATTAGTGGAATCTTTTTAAAAATGTCCAATATGTAGGAATAGAGAAGAGAGTAATGGTTGTCAGGGCAGGAAAAGCAAGACCAAAAAACAAAACAAAACAAACAGAAGAACCCCACTAAACCTAGATTTTCTTTTTTTCTTTTCTTTTCTTTTTTTTTTTTTTTGAGACAGGGTCTCTATGCAGTTCAGGCTGGCCTTGAGCTCACTTTGTAGCCCAGGCTGGTCTCAAACTTGAAATGATCCTCCTGCCTCAGCCTCCCCCGAGTTCTGAGATTACAGGTGTGAGCCACCACACCCGGCTAGATTTTCTATTCAACCCAGCTATTCTCCTTTTAAGTGTTTCCCCAAAATAATTAAAGATGGCAACCGGGCATGGTAATGCACGCCTGTAATCCCAGCACTCAGAGGCTGAGGCAGGAGAATCATTGGGAGTTTAAACCAGCCTGGGCTACAAAGTGAGCTCAAGGCCAGCCAGAACTGCATAGAGAGATAAGAAAAAATTTAAGATTCCCCCCTAGTCCATTTTATTTCAAGGAGAAAAAGAAAAAAGAAAACTAAAATGAAATTTCAAAACATCATTCGGGGGCAACAGTGGTACATACATTGCGTATTGTCGTCACCAAATCATTCCCCAGGGCACAATACATCTGCATTCAATTGTCTGAACAATGCCCGCACAAATCTTTCTCTTCAGTGAAGTCAGAAATCAGTAGTATAACTGTCTTGACTATATTTATATATATATGTTGTTTTTTTTCAACATCTCACATGGAGACAATACATGTGTATCTTATTTCACTAATGAGTATGATCTCAAATTGCACCCAATTAATTGTAAAAGTCTCCAGTTTATCATTCTTTATGGCTGAGTAGTACTCTATTGTATAAAAATACCACATCTTTTTTATTCATTCCTCAGTTGATGGCCCGTAGATTGTTTCCAAAATCTGGCTATTACAAATTATGCTGCTATCTAAATATGGGTGACATGTATTGCTATGGTATAATGTTTTTAATTCTTTTGGGAGGATTCCCAGAAGGGGAATAGCTGGGTCTAATGGGGCAGCTGGGCCTAGTTTTTTGAGGACTCTCCACACTGATTTCCACAGTGGTTGCATCAGTCTGCATTCCCACCAACAGTGGTGAGGGGTTCCTTTTCCCCCACAGCCCCTCCAGCATTTATTATTGCTTGATTTCTTGATATTAGCCATTCTTTCTGGGGTGAGGTGGAATCTTAGTGTTGTTTTAATTTGCATTTCTTGAATGATTTCTCTTGAACATTTTTTTGCATATTTATTTGTTGTTTGTACTTCTTCATCTGAGAAGTCTGTATTTATCTCAGATGCCCATTTTTAAAATCTGGCAGGGTTGATTTTTTTGAGTTCTTTATATGATCTCCCTAGTAATTCTTTGTCTGAGAAAAAGCTGGCAAGCATTTTCTCCCACATTGTGGGCTGTCTCTTCACTCTGGTGGTGGTTTCTCTTGCTGTGCAAAAGCTTTTCAATAGGACAAGATCCCAGTTGTTGATTCTTTGTGATAGTTTCTGTGCAATTGAGATTTTGTTCATAAAGTCTTTGCTTACACTAATGTCTTCAAGATATCTACTCTCTATCTTCCAGAAGATTCAATGTTTCTGTTTTAATATTAAGATCTTCAATCCATTCTGATTTTAGCTTGATACATGGTGAAAGATCTGAGTCCAGTTTTGCTCTTCAGCTTGTATAGAGCCAGTATTTCCAGCACCATTTATTTAAAGAGGCTATCTTTCTTCAAATAAATGTGTTTGGCACCTTTGTCAAAGATGGGTGGCTTAGTGTGTCTAGAGTTGTTTCTACATCTTCTAATCTATTTAACTGATCTTTGGATTTTTTTTTTTTTTTTTTTGCCAGTACCACATTGTTTTTATCACAGTATCTTTATAGTATAATTTCAAGTCAGGGATTATGATGCCCCTGTCTTATCTTTGTTGCCCTAGGTAGTTGTCATGGTTTATGTTGGTGGCCCCCAGGCCTCATGCATTTGCATTGTACATTTGTGATTGGTTGATTGTCTAGCACTGGATTGGGGGTGTGAGTGCTACACTGGCCTAGGGGTGGAGCCAGGATGTAATGTAATGGCAGGAAGAAGGTGTGTCTGGCTCTCTTGCCCATTTCTGCCTTGCTGTTTGCAGCTGCCATGAACTGTGGCCCTGCCTTGGAGCCAGCTGAGTATGGACTGAAACCTCCAAAAACTGTAAGAAAGAAACCTTTCCTTTCCCACCTTGATGCATCAGGTATTTTGTCTCAGCGACGAGTAAAACATAACTAAGACAGTTGTCTTTGCTGTTCTAGGTCTTTTCTGGTTCCACATGAATTTTAGACTGGTTTTCTGTTAATTCTGTAAGACATGCTATTGGAATTGTGATTGAGATGACATTGAATCTTGTCTTAGTTATTTTTTGCTCGTTGTTGAGACAAAATACCTGACACTCAAAGATAGGGGAGGAAAATACAGTTTTTGGAGGTGTTAGTCTATATTTTGTTGGCTTGCAGGCAGTGTGGCTTGGCAGGGCAGACATTTATGGCTGGTGCATACAGCAAGAGAAAGCAAAAGAGAAAGGCTGCCCTTCTCTGGCCATTACACTGGCTCCACCCCTGGGCGGGTGAAACACTCATACCACCAATCCGAGCGCTAGACAGTGGACCAATCACAAAGGCTAGACTTAGTTAATTCTTTGACTGAATGAGGCTTTGAAGAAACATTTAAATAAACCACAACAAATCTCTGGAAGATTGGCCATTTTCACTATATGGTTTTTTCCCACCCAAGAACACAGGATAGCTCTCCATTTTCTTTTCTTTTAATTTAGAGAGAATAAAACCAAACAAAATAAAACAGAATAAAGCCAATTAAAACAAGACAGTGTGACACAGTATTTAAAATAAGATAATAGGAAATCAAGAATTGTTACCATAGTGCCTCTTCTTGTCTTCAAAATAGCTGCCTGTAGCTTCAGACATAGTAAAATCAAACAAAATAGCAATAGAACAGAGCCAATAAGAACAAAACAGTGAATGCAACACAGGACTTCAAAACAAGATAATAGTAAATCCAAAATGACTACCATGGTATATCTTATTATCTTCAAAATAGATGCCCATGCCATCAGATAACAACAAAATCAAATAAGATAAAACAGAATAAAACCCAACCAAACAAAACAATGAGAGTGATACAGGATTTCAAAACAAGAGAATAGGGAATTAACAATGGCCACCACCTTCAGAAGGAGATCCTTCATTGTTATCCTCTGAATAGATGATCAGATTTTGGCGTGCAAAGTTAGGGAAACACTAAACACTACAAGCATTGTTTTATTCTACCTCATTGGCTATCATCACAGCTTGTGTTTCTCCAGGTCGGGCAGCTGCTTACAGAAGAGGGTGGAAGGCAGAGGAGGAGCATTGGTGGTTCTTGTCTTCCAGAAGGGGCTGGTCAGCCTGCACATGGCTCTGACTCACAGGCGGCCTTGCTTCTGTTGACTTCTTGTTCTCCTCCCCCGCAGTCCACAGATGGTGCCAGTTCACAGGGGAGGGCTGACGTCTGCGTCTCCCTCAGTCAGCCCATACATGGCCCCGACTGAGAAGAGTTCTTAGCTTCTTGTTGAGTTCTTGTTCTCGTAGCTTTCCATTTTCTACTGCCCTCTTCATTGTCCTTTTTCAGAGTACTATAGTTTTCATTGTAAAGGTCTTTTATCTCCTTTGTTAGATTGATTCCTAGGTATTTTATTTTTTTGGATGCTATTATAAAAGGTGTTGTTTCCCTGATTTCTCTCTCAGGGAGTTTGTTATTTGTATACATGAAGGCTATTGAGTTTTCAGTGTTGACTCTGTAACCAGCTACATTACTGAATTTGCTTATTAAATCTACAAGACTTTTGGTGGAGTTTTTGGGGTGTTCTAAGTAGAATAGCATGTCACCTGCAAATAATGACAATTTAATTTCTTCCTTTCCTATCTTATTCCATTTATTTATTTATATTGTATAATTGCTCCAGCTAAAGTTTCCAGGACTATGTTGAATAAGAGTGCAGATAGTGGGCATCCTTATCTTGCTACTAGTTTAGAGAAAAAACTTTCAGTTTTTGTGCATTTAGTATGATGTTGGCTGTTGGTTTGTCATAGATCGCTTTTATCAGATTAAGATAAAGACCATCTATTCCCATTCTCTGTACTTTTTTATCATAAATGGGTGCTACACTTTGTCAGAAGCTTTTCTGCATCTATTGAGATGATCATATGATTTTTGTCCTTGGCTCTGTTAATATAATGTATTACATTTATGGATTTACATGTCTTGAACCACTCCTGCATCCCTGGGATGAATCCCACTTGATCATGGTATACAATTTTCTTGACAACTTGCTGCAATCTATTTGCCAATATCTTATTGAGCATTTTGCATCAATGTTCGTTAGGGGAATTGACCTCTTTCTTAATTGGATCTTTCTCTCGTTTTGGTATCAGGATAATGCTTGCTTCCAGAAGTGAATTTGGAAATATTGCTTCCCTTTAAATTTCATTAAAGAGTTTGAAAAGTAGTAGTGTTAGGTTTTCTCTAAATTTCTTGTAGAATTCAGCAGTGAATCTGTCAAGGCCTGGGCTTTGTTTGCTGATATGTTTTAAATTACATCTTTGTTTTCATTTATTAATATTGGATTATTTAGGATTTTATGTCTTCTTGGTTCAGCTTTCTTAATTCATATGTATCTAGGATTCTGTCCATTTCTTCTGTATTTTCTATCTTATTAGAATACAAGCTTTCAAAGTAGGTATAGATGATCTTCTGAACTTCTGTAAGGTCCATTGTGATTTCACCCTTTTCATTACTAATTGTGTGAATTTGAGCCTTTTCTTTCTTTCTTTTTTTTTTGGTAAGTTTGGCTTAGGGCTTGTCAATTTTATTTAAAGAACCAACTCTTCAATTCATTGATTCTTTGTATTTTGTTTTTAGTCTTCTGAGTGTTAATTTCTGCTCTGTTCTTTATAATTTCCTACCTTGTATGATCTTTTGACTTAGCCTGCTCTTCTTTTTCTAGAAGTTTGAGGTTCAACATTAAGTTGTTTGTATGTACTTGCTGTTTTCCTGATACGGGTATTTACTGCTATAAATTTCCCTCTTAAAACTGCTTTCATTGTTTCATACAAGTTCCAATATGTTGTGGTGTTGTTATCATTTGACTGTAAAAACTAATTTCTTCTTTAATTTCATCTGTGACTCACTGGTTGTTCACTAGGGTGCTTTTTAACTTCTATGTGTTTATGAAGTTCCTGTGGTTTCCTCTGGAGTGGATTTCCAGTTTCATTGCATTGTGGTCTGATAGTATGTATGGAATAATTTTAATTCCTTTACATTTACTTAAGCATATTCTATGAGCCAGTATATGATCTATTTTGGAGAATGTTCCAGGTGCAACTGAGAAGAATGTGTACTCTGTTGTAGGGTGGAACACGTTATAGACATCTACTAAGTCCATTGGTTCTAAAGTTTGATTTAGTTCTAGTATTTCATTACTGATTTTTGTCTAGTTGATCTGTCTTTTTGTGACAGTGGGGTATTGAGGTCTCCTAATACAATTGTACTAGGGCTTATTTGACTTTTCATGTCTGTTAGTAATTGTTTTATATAGTTGGGTGCACTGGTATTTGTTGCATATATATTTATGATATCTCCTCCTCTTGGATTGTTCCCTTTACAAGGGTGTATAGTGATCTTCTTTCTCTCTTAAGTAGTCTTGCCTTAAAATTACTTTGTCTGCAAATAGAATAGCTATTCCTACTTTTCTCTGGGTTCTTGTTGCATGAAGTTTTGTTTTCCATCCTTTGACTTTTCAGTCTATGAGTTTGTTTTTGAATTAAATGTGTTTCTTGTATGCAGGATATTGTTGGACCTTGCTTCTTGATCCATTCTGCCAATCTATGTCTTTTGATTGATGAATTGAGACCATTAACATTGATGTATGCAACTGATATGTATTGACTTATCCTTGTCATGTTTTTTCCTATTGTTGGCTCTCCCTTTTTTTGACCTCCCTCTGTTTGCCTTCTCAGGTGCATTCCTTCTGCTGGAGTCCATGGAGCAGTAGTCTTTATTATCTCTTTTTAGAATGTCCTTCAAAATTGACATTTGGGAGTACTGGTTTCGTGATTATAAATTTCCTCAGATATTCTTTGTCATGGAAGTATCTTATTCTCCATAGTTTTGTAGGTACATCACTTGGGATTGAAAGTTGTTTTCCTTTGCAAGTTGGAATACTTCACTCCACGCTGTCTTTGATTTGAGAGTTTTTGTGCTGAGAAGTCTGCTGTGATTCTGATGGGCTTTCCTCTATAGGTGATTTGTTTCTTTTCTCTAACAGCTTTTAGGATTGTATTCTTGTGTTGGATTTCTGGAATCTTGACTATGTTATGCATGACTATTAATTTTTTTTGATCACTGCTAATTTGAGTTCTATGTACCTTTAATCTGCATGCCAAGTTCTTTTTCTCTACCAGGAAAGTTTTTTGTCAGAATGTCTGTTAACATTTTTTAATGTCATTTGTGGTATCTCCTGCTTGTTCATTTACTCCAATTAGTCTTAAGTTATTCTTCTTTGTCTCATCTAGTAGCTTTTGGATTGATTTCCTTGCTGTTTTTGAGAAATTTTTGTTTTCCTAGTTGCTAACTGCAAGCCTGTGTTCAACATCTGAGATCCTGTCCTCACACTGGCTGGATCTGATTCAAATGCTTTTGATCTAGTTTTTATTCTCCTGGCTATGTGCTTGAATCTGCTTTATGGATTCCATTTCTTTCCTGTGCTCATCTTTAATTGGCTTAAACTGGTCTGTTTTTTGGTCTGTGTCTGTTCTAACATTGTAAGAATGGTGTGTATTTTGGTAATCCCTGTAGTTATCTGAGAGATTGTTTCTGATTTCATTTTTTCCCAGAGCCTCATTCAGTTGCTTTGTTGTTACCAGGTCAGATAGGCCTGCTGGGGGCTTCCAGATTGCCCCACCTCATTGCCCCCTGGATTTGCCTTTGGTGAACTGGTTATCTGAGGTTACATTTTGCTTAAGTGTCTTCTCATTTTATTTTCTTTCTTTTTTTTTTAATTCCCCCCTCCTTTTTTTTTTTTTTTTTTTTGTTTAATCCCTGGGTGGTGCCTATAAATTGCCTGTGGTGGGTTCCTTTATTGGTAATGTTTAGGACCCTTCAGTGATGATTACTTCTCTGAGGTATCTTCCAGGTTTTTGGTTTTTGAGTCTGTTGGAAGATCTTACCTCTTTGGGTTGTTGGAGATGAAAAGTTGTTGCTTGTTTGGCCTAGTCCCTGAGTCTTTGGTACTGTGCCATCATATTTTCTGTGACCTTTAGTTAATCTCAGTCATGTAATACCAAGATCAACAGCTGTGAAGGACAATTATGTCAATTTTGGCTATAATGGTACCAGTACCACTATACACACTAAACACAGCCTAGAAAACAAGAAACTGAGCTAACCCTTAATTTGCAACTTTAACTGTATCAACTGCGTTTTTGATTATATAAAAAATGTAAACCAGATAATTATATGCAATATGTAAGTCTATAATATGTCAATTTTGCCCTTGAGCATTCAAATTTAAAATGGATTAAGGAGAAAATAAAGAAGGGGAAGAAGAGAAAGAGATAAGTAGGATTGGAAGACAATGGGGCATCACAGCAACCTGGAGAAACTGGTGCAGAAGACTGAAGGAAAAGAGAGGTGAGAGAGATAGAAGAACAGAAGAGAACCCACAAAGAGGTGAGCGACCACTTTCATGCTCATATAAAGCAATGAAGGAGAAAGAGAAAAATGAAAAAGACCAACAGTCCACTTTCAGAATTCTCTTTGGTTTCACTAGTAGACAACCTGTGGAGACAGTCCCAAGTCATCCCGACAAGGCAGCAGGTTTTTGTTTGTTTTTGGTTGGGGAGTAGGTGACTCTGCGACCTGCCCTGAGACCAGACTCATGGAGCTTGTTGCAGTCCAGCAGTGTGCACAGGTCTGCGCCCAGCTGGGGGCTGCTAGACGCAGCTGGCAGCAGTCCTGGGTTCTGAGCTCAGCCGGCCCATCTCCGAGATGGCTCCCGGCTGTCAGCAGTGCCGTGCTCCACGTCCGAGGCTCCCCTCCACTGCTGCGCTGCGTCTCTGCGGAGGCCTGCAGGGTCACCAGCCATCACCGTCACTGTGACCATGTGTCCCCCACTTTGAACAGCTCCCCTCCTGCAGTGAGTCCCGTCTCAGGGCAAAGGCACCTCTGGCTGCTTCTTCCTTAAGTTTCTCTTTTCTCTCTCTCTCTGTAGATTGCAGTTCACACTTCAGATTCTTCCTGGCTCTAGGGGACCCACCTCCTTCCTTCTTGTCTTCCTCTCGATGCTATTCCAGCATCTGCAAGATGACTGCCAGAGAGGCTGTTTTCTCCACTGCTTACTGCCCACCATCTTCTCGGAAGTACAGAAAATTACTTACATATAGAGAAAATTATTTATAAGCAAGGGAGTAATACCCTGCCATAGAGAGGATAAACTTGAGTCATTTGTAGGAAAATAGATGCAGTTTGAGACTGTAATGATGAGTGACATAAACTGGATATACAAGCTTAGTTGATTTTTGAAATAAAAAGAATAGGAAACAGAGAGATAGGGCTTTGGCCGGTGGGAAGAGGATGTAGAGAAGGAGGAAAAGACGAGAGGAGGGAGGGGGAGTGAAGAGAATGAAGGTGTGTCCCTGCTCCCTAAGATGAGTGTAAGCAGTGTGCACTGTAAACATGTACTAGCAGAAAATTTAAAAAGCAGCAAAAGGTAAGAAAGTGGGGAGAAGTGCGTTAGAAGGCACAATCTTGCAGTTACACGGGACGAATAAACTTAGGGATCCAAGTGTCGCACAGGACTGTGGGGAATGCTTAGGTGTGTGTGCTGCAGGAGCTTCCTTTATTTTCTGAATGCACTTCCCCTTCCCTTCACCCCCCTTCCCTCTTCTAATTCCTCTGTCCCAGTTTTCATTGTAGTTGATAGCATTAGTCTTGGCTCATGCTATGACATATAAGACTTACATTAATTGAGATCATCAGGTTCCTGTACGTGGCATTTCTTTCTTCTTCCTTCCTCTTTCTCTCCTCACTTCTCACCTTGTTCCCTTGGTCCTTTCTCCTATTGTAAGAGATCCATCCTCTTGTCCTCTTCTAGCCATCCTTTGTTATTCTCCTCGGTTACATTTTGCCTTACTCAAGTGGGAGGTATCATATGATATTTAAGCTTGTGTGTTTCATTTATTTCACTCAACATATTTTTCAGGTGTATTCATTTCCCTACAAATGTCTTAAATTTGTCATTCTTTGTAGCCATGTAGCATTCCATTTTATATGGACACCATATTTTCTTTATCCAATCATCTGTTGATGGGTATACAGACCTTTTCCAGGACTTAGCTATTACAAGTTATGCTGCTGTAAACATTGTTGGGCATAGAGTGCTGTAGGAGGATGTCTTAAGTCTTTGGAGAAGATACCTAAAAGGGGGATAGCTGAGTCCTGTGGGATTTCTAATTTTGGTTTTTCGAGAAGTCTTCATACTGATTTCCATAATGGCTGTACCATTTCACATTCCCACCAGTGATGTAGGAGGGTTCTTTTTTCACCACAGCCAAGCCAGCATTTGTCACTGTTTGATTTCTAAATGATTGCTGTTCTTTCCAGAGTTAGGTAGAATCTGAGTTACATTAATTTTCATTTCTCTAATGGCCAGAGATGTTGAATGTTTTTTCAAATATTTGTTGACATTTATATTTTTTTACTCTGTGAAATGTCTGTTCATTTCTCTTGCCCATTTCTTGATTGGGTCCTCAATTTTAGGTGATTTAATTTTTTTGAGTTCCTTGTATATTCTAGATATTAATCCTGAGGAGTAGATGGTAAAGTTTTCCCCCATTCTCTCTTCTGATTTATTCTTTTGTTGTAACAAGATACAAAATCATTACACAAAAATCATTGCCATTTGTGTACACAAATAATAAACTCAGTGAGAAGGAAACTGTGAAAATGATACCATTCACAGTAGCTTGAAGAACAATGAAACACCTAGGAATTTACCTAACCAAGAAGTAAAAGACCTGTACAAAGAAAACTACAGAACTCTGAAGAGGATTAAAGAGGACGTCAGAAAGTAGCAGGAGGTCCTGTGCTCCTGGTGAGGCAGAACCAGGATCGTCAGAATGGCGGACTTCCAGGCCTGCCTTGCAGATCCATTGACTGTCATCGCCTCGTACAAGTTGTATTTTCTGTTTGTGTTTTAGTGACACCTACCCTCAACATGTCCCAAAGGAAAATATGCTGTGGCTGAAATACGAAAATTTCACCTCAAATTTAAGTTTTATTCAAATATAATTCACATACAACTCACCTATTTAAAGTGAATATTTCAGTGGTTTTTAGTATAGTCACAGAGTTGTACAGGTATCACTGTAGTCAATGTTAGAACATCTTTACCACCTCAAAAAAGAAATCACACCCCAATTAGCAGCCATCCTGTTTTCTCTACCCATGGCAACCACAAATCTACTTTCTGACTTTGCCTGTTCTGGACATTCCATATAAGTGGAGTCATACAATAAATGTGACTTCTTCCTGTTTTCAGGGTTTTAAGGTTCATCATGCTTTGGCACATAGCTCTGTTTCACTCATTTTTAATGTGGAACAGTACACCCACAGCATGTGTGTGTGTATACATATCAATTGCATTTTATTTATCAGTTCATCAATTGATGGACAGTTGTGGTTTTTCTACTTTTGTCAATTACAAATTATGCTGTTATGAATACTGTATTCAGGTTAGAAATTTTCATATGTATGTTTTAATTCCTTGAGAGGCATACCTATTTAGATCTTTAGCTCATTTTTCATTGGGTTGTTATTATTATTGAGTTGTAAGACTTCTTTATATATTCTGGATACTAGACCTTTGTTAGATATATGATTTGCAAATGTTTTCTCCCATTCTGTATACTATCTTTTTATTTTCTTGATGTTATCCTTTGAAGTGAGCTACTATTCTTAAACTTACTTGTTGAAGTTCCTTTGACTTAATGTTTTTGTCTCCTTCTCACAAGTTACTGATATATTTCCCATGTGTATATTCAACATTTCCTACATTGGATCATTCATGTCTCTGAATTAAGATCCAAATTGCTATTTCTTGTAACAATACAGATTACTAATCTAAAATAATTATTACAGGATTCGTATTTAGAACAAATAACTCTTTACAATTAATAAAGTGGCAAAGCATTCAATAGAAAAATGGACAAAAGATATGAAAAAGCTGCACACAGAAGGAAGCGTGGGTCACTAATAACATCAGATCAGATGTGCCGCTTTGAGCCTTGGAAAGCTGGTGGCTGGAACTGCGGAGTGACTGGGTGCTGCTTAGATTCTGGGGGCCTGAGGCTTAGCAGGGTTTTAATTGGAACTAGAAGGCTTAAGCAGACCTCCAGCCCCAGTGGATCCATTGCTGATCCTATCTTGGCTCTTGATCTCCAGAACCATTAAATATATCAAAGTTTTCGCATTTCTAGGAATTTTAAGAAAAATCAATACAGGATTTTTTCATTAGTTCAGTTTAGAATTAGAGCTTAAACCTTCCAAAGATTTAGAGCTAGGTTTTCTGACTTCAGCAGATTGTTCTGGACCCAGAGTTTGACTAAAAGCAGGACAAAGAAAGATCTAGAGGTTCTGCCTACTGTAGGCCTAAAAATTTGGAGCCTTTTTCTGGAAAAAATTAGGGCCTTTACACTTAATGACGGTGCTTAATGCTTGCGTGTAAGACAGAACATCTACAGTAGCTGCAGAGAGAAAGATAGACCTACACGTACCCTGACCGTTAGCCAAAGACTCTGAACCTCAAGGTTCAGATAGGCACCAGCCCAGGTTTACCCTGCAAGCCTCTCAGTAGAGCCTCTGTTTACCTCTGCTTTTTGAGCACTGGCTTGTCTTAAAAGTTAAAGTTGTTTCCTTTTGAAAAATCATTTTAAATACTCTTTGGATCATTTGCTTATTTAAGTCTATAATCTTGTGATACTGACTAAAGAGGTAAAACCTGTAAAAGCATTACTTGGTTGTTTGCCCCTTTTTGTTTTGTTTCGTTTTGTTTTTAAAGAAGAAAGAACAAGTGATAAATGCATTAAAATTATGACTTTTTCCCACTAGGGAATTTTTTCAGTAGTAAGACACGTTTCTCAATGTAGGTGTTACATTCATCTTGTTGGATAGTTCTGTCCTTTGCTGTGCGGGGCATTGGGCATCCTTGCCCCTTGTGTGCTATGTAAGTAACCCCTGTAGCTGAGACCACATCTATGTCTCTGTACATTTCCATATCCCTGTGACGAGGTCTTAGTACCCCAACTGAAAAAGAAGATATAATACCTTCTTTTTCTTGGAGTACATTGATGGTAAACTGAATACCTTACTAGGTTGTTTGAGGATTTTATTTCTGTTCTTAGAAGCGATTTCTAGGGACCCCAGGCATACTTTACTCTTGTTCTGTGATTATTGGCCCAGTACTTTCAGATCAAGATCTCAACTCTTAAGAGTGTTGTGTACTGAAGTGACAGTGGTGTGTGCTCAGCCTGGCACGCTTTAGATCCGACTCCCTTTCCCTGGCCCCTTCTCTGATATGGTGCCCTTCAGATGGGCTCCCAGAGGCATCTGCTTTGATGCTGCAATACGATTACTAAGGCTGTTTTTAAGCTTATTAATTTTTTCAAGTGTGGGCAGCTCCCCCACTAATAAGTTACATTCCAAATTGTATGTGTAGGTTGGTTATTTGGACTCCGGAACATGTTTTGCCATGGAAACCATTTAGTACATAGTTAGGTTACCAAGGAAACTAGAGGTACTGGAGCTCATCAAGCCATATTGCCTCCTAACCACATTTTGAGGGATGTAACCCAGCCTTTTTTCTTTCTCTTTGGTGGCTGTCAGTTGTACACCTCACCTGGAGAGGAGATGGCTAGGATCCAGCTATGTTAGACTGGACTCACTTAGTTCACCTAATACAAATGCATACACGAGGAGCCTCAAAGGTCCAGTCTGATCTGCTTTCAGGAAAGAGGAGTGCAGGGCACACCAAGCCCAGTTGTCACTCACATCTAACTGTTACCTGAACAGCTGTGAGTAACTGCCCCTCACTGTGTCCAGTACTCGCACCTCATCTCAGGGCCAGGGGAACAGGCACCAGCGTGGGCTTTCCTCCTCCTCATGTTTCCAAGTCTCCTTGCAGTAAGTGATCATCCCCCGGTAGCCTTACGGATCTGCGATCACCTGTAGAAATCCATGCAGCTCAGACTGGCATAGGGCCTGTGCAAAAAACCCTGTTAACCTTGTGATCTCGGCTCGTCAGTATTAACAGCAAGGCACTTTGGTGTGATAGACGAGTAACATGTAACTCGTTCTAGTGAAGACAGGAATTAAGAACTCTAGCCCATCGTACTGTACTATACTGTACTGTACTATCGGGTACTATACTATCTAAAGACAAGGAGTAGAAATGGTTACAGCATTGTTATTGTTTTAATTGCATGTTTCTGGAATTAAGCTCAATGTAAGTTAGTATTGTGTATGTTTCTAACCAGAGCCTGTTCTCTTGGCATAATCGGGTGTGGTCTACCTGCTGAGTACTGGCCACATTGTCCTCAGCCCTCAGGTGCTACTTCTTTGGAACCTTGGCTTTGTGTCCTCCCAGTTGGAGTAATGGCTTCCATCCTCTGCCTTGTCATTGTACTTTGGGGCCTCCTTATCCTAGTGTTTCATTCCGTATCTTTGTATGCTGGCTAAGTAATAATTTAATTTTACACTTCTGCTTTATAGAGTGCATTCTCAGTGATTACCTTTGCAGACTTGATAGGGAATGCATTGTCGTCCCTATTTTTTGCAGGCTAGGTAGGGTGTGCATGTCTTCATCTCTATTTTCCACAGTTAAAAGTAATACCTGGCTACCTTACACACTTGCGTATTCTCATAACTAGTCCCAGCAGATCTGGAGTGAAAGAGAGTGTAGGCTTCTTGTGAGGCTTGCATAAATCCCACCACATGCTTCTACCGCTGCTGTTTTCCTAGGTTCTGCTTATGCAGAGGTGAGTGGTTGTTGATTCTTATTTTAGTGCTCAGCCTCTCTTAGGGAGAACTAACCTCTCGAGCTGCTTTAGTCAACGTTCAGGGCACTTTGGCACATTCTTCTCTTCAGCAAATTGGCATCTTAGGACAAGCTCATGCTGTAGCATATTTATTAGTGAATTGGTACCTTTGCATATTTTATAAAGTGAATGAATGCCTGCAGGTATTTGTCTTGATAGTTAATAATCACATTTTGTTTTATATAGTGTCTTTTCATCCAAAGTGTATATTATCTTCCATTATACAGAGGAGGCTGGTTAAATTATGTGTTTAAAATTTAACACGGTCGAACATGGTAGTGTGTGCCTATAATCCCAGCACTTGGGAGGCTGAGGCAGGAGGTTCATGCTGAGTTCAATGCCAGCCTGAAGTATGTAGTGAGACCCTTTCTCAAAAAACCAAAAAAGAAAAAAAAAAAAAATCCAACGCAGCAGAAGTGGGAAGAAGGGAACAGATTTCTCTGAGGCATTCCTGTGAACCAGGCACTATGTGCTTTACATGTATGACTTCATTTCATCTTTGCAAAAAGTGTAGGAAGTAGCTGATGCTTTACATTTTGTAAGTGAGGAAATTGTGTTTCAGACAAGCTAAGTAACCTACGCTACAAGTGAAAAGCAGAAAGGACACTGAAATCTGGCCCTGCCTGATTCGGAGGCTCGTGCTCCGTATTCTCTCCCACTTGGCTTCCTCTTGCCATTTGCAGAGCTTATAGTAAAAAACTGAAGAGTGCCGGGGACACATGGCGACACGGAGGGAAGAGGGAAAGCTGGAGTGCTGCCACTTCTTCTTCCTGACAACAGCCAGAAGGGGTGAACTCACTCTTTCTCCTTCCTCTCCAGATCATGGAATTGCTGATGAGCGCTCCGATGGTTTTAAGTCTGAACTTGTAACCAGGCTGAGCTAAGATACACTAACGGAACAGTCTGTGGCACTTGCTGCCTGTGAAAGGAGGACCTGTTCACAGACGTCCCGCTGCTGAGCAGTTAGAAAGCCGGGGAAGAACCGCGCTGCCCTTGCGGGAGGCAGTGAGGCTGGGAAGGAGCAGCTGAGGGAGTCGAGAGCCCGTGTCCCGGGCCTGTGTCCTCCTTCGTCCCCAGGCGTGGAACAGTGGGAGTAGGTTCCCTCGCCCTCCCTGGAGTCTGCCCTGTAAGACGCAGGAACCGACCTGGACCCTCCCAGGGTCTGAACCTTCTTTCTTTATCTTTAAGGAATGTGTTATTTTTAAAGAATCTTTTAAGACTGAGACAGTGATGAGCAATCTCTCACCGCCCAATGTCCTTGTCAGTGTTTGACAGGAGCCTTAGGGCTAACGGCTGCCAGAGGTCTCCCTTGTAAAGAAAGCAGCGCCCAGCAGAAGGCGGTATTGTAGTCAGAAGACCCTGGGCATTGGTGGGGAGCAGGCAGGGCCTTTGCAGATGCCTGCGACTTTTGGCTTTGTTCCGTAAGTTCTAAAAGGATCCCGTGAGGTTTTGTATTCCTCTGAGACACTGTGTCTGCAGCTCTGCAGTGACTCAGGCCGTGTTCACGGCTCCACGCTGCAGCAGCGCGGCTGCTCTGGGCACCGAGGAGCTGGGACGGAGATGGCGGCGTCCTTCTCTGCTGCACAGTCATGTCTTCCTGCGGCTCCTGCCGAGCTATAGTTAGTAACTGATTACTAATATCCAGATAATTCACAGGTGAGTATAATTTAGAGCAAGATAATCAGAAATGCTTTCAATAAAATTTGGTCCCTTCCTTGACAAATTAAAAATTTTAGATTGGTTGCCTGATACATCTCCTGATTTCCCTAAACAGAAACTTTAGTTCAAACTTTTCTTGGAGAGAATGTCTAGGCCCTTCTTGAGTCAGCAGCTGCCTTCCAGGATTCGTAGTCTCCACGCAGACTTTCTCTCTTTTCATGAGCACTGACACCTCGCCAGGAGGGCAGGTTTATATGATGGGCTGGCTGGATTATTTACTAGGCGCCACAAAAATGTAACAAACCTCATCTGCTAGGGACTGCTTTTATTTTTAAAGAATGGTTTTTAAAGGAGTGATTGAAGTGAATGTATCATGTCAGAATAGCTGAGTTTCCTGAGGGTGTGTTTTCCTGAGAAATTGAAGCTGTCCGACAGTACCTGTATTACCATAGCATTGTCCCTCCACTGTCCCACAAGACCACAGCAGAAACTGAGCCGTCCACCTTGCTAAGGTTCCAGATTCTTGAATTAAATAACTTGTGATAAAAAGCCACGTGCTCCAAGGGTTTGGGGGCACAGCTCCTCTGCCTGGGCCCCCTGGAACTGCCTTGTGGTACGCAGCAGGGCTTTGGAGCCTTATGCTGTGCTCAGAGGACCTCCTTGAGTCCAGCTATCGAGCACTTTGCTGTGCTGAGGGCAGCTTTTAGCTCTTCCAGTGGTGTCAACACAAACTTGGATTTTTTGCTCTGCCGGCTCTTCCCCAGGGAGGAAGTACCCCAACTTCAAGGGGTCTTCTCCTTCTCCAAGTGCAGCCTGAGCTTTTTTTCATCTTGGCGTGCAGAGGGGCCATTGTAGGAGCTGAGACATAGTGAAGGCATTCAGGTTGAGTAGCTAGGGAGACAGGAATGGTTGCAGAAGTAACTAGGGAACAAGAACCAGGGAGAGGCAAAGATGAGCGGAGCTGCTCACCCACACCCACTCAGAAATCATTCTCCAACAGTAATATTGGCATTTGAGTCACTAAAAATAGTATGATACTGGAATACCAAAACCAGTGTTATCATCACTAGTAAGTTTCCTTTGCAGAGTTAAAGTTCAGAAAGGGAAGGCCCTGTGGAAGAGGTGTGATGGAGCAAAGTGTTAAAGGATGGGTATTCGGTATTGAGTCTGATAATGGAGATCCACTCAATTTGCTGATAACTATCCCAGAAGTTTGATAAAGTTTATGTGCCAGTAGTTCAGGTCTGTAGCTTAGTTGGGGACTTACATGTATGATCTTGTTTCATCCCTGAAAAACCTGCAGGAACTAGGTGGCTCTGCGAAGCCGTCTTTTCCTTCACTCAGTTACAGCTCTCCTATCTCTGTATTTGTCTTTGTAATAAAACCCTTGAGCAGTTTTGTGTGTTATTCTTAGTGGTAACACTTTGATACATTAACACTTCATAGCATTTCACTTGAAGATTTTTTTTTCCTCCATGGCTTTAGCATTTAAAGATGCAAAGACACATTAAGATTTTGGATCCTGTTTCTTGGATGCTTCTCTTTACAGAGGCTTATTCACAAATTGCCTTTTTTTCCCTTTGCTCATATGCTTTCTTTATTGGGCATTATATTGATTGGTTGTTGCTTGCCACACCTGTTTTCTGAGCTGCTAGTTAGTGTATTTGGAGTATGAAAAATGCAGTACCTGCTTTTGCTACCTAGTGGCTTTCTACCTGCTGCATTCTTTCACACACATGTGAATTTCTTTACTCAGCAGCTTTGAAACACTTTCTCAGTTCAACTTGGTTTTGGTCAAGACTTTGGATTGGTAATCTAAATCTTAGCCTCTGAGTTTCTATTTATTGAATCTGTGTTCAAAAGTAATGTGTTCCACTGCATAATGCTGTCTTTGAGACCTCTGAAGTTTGGTTGGACATGTTATGTCAGAATTTGGCTGTTTTATTAGCTGGCTTTCTGGAACTCCAGAGCAGTGTTTCTCCCAAGGGTGGTTCACAGACCACCTGCGTTAGCAACTACTATAGTTACAGATTTCAGACCATTCTGTCTCAAGAAGGGCCCAGATCTGGGGACTCAGAAGTCTGCTTTTCACAAGCTACAGTAGGGAGTTGAGTACACACTTAACTTGGAAGACTTCTGCCTCAATACTTATTTATTTAGAAGTTATTGCCTCATTTTTCTCAGAACATGCATGCTTGAGTTTGGGCCTTTGATTTGAATCTTGTAAAGGAGTAGCACCGTCCTTGCCCTGGGATTCAGCAGAGTTACAGAGAAGTCAGATCCCAGCAATGTTACTAAAGCCCAAATCACTGGACCATCTCCTATCTGTTGGGGTGGCTCTTGAGAGGCGCACAAGAGCAAAGGACGCACACGTGACTCTTGGAAATCACCTTTCTGACTGTGGGTGACTACTCAGTACATTAGACGGTAGAATATAGCCAATCTAAGCTCTGGAGCCTTATAATAATAGTAATTAAGATAATGATACTTTGTACTTCTCAAGTGTCTTTAAACTGAGGGCCTTCAAGTGCTATATTAAACAAAGTATGCAACACCTCGGGAAGAGAGGTCAGTGTTGTTTCTCATTTTATAGATTCAGAACCTAAACCTGAATGTAAAACTTCAGCCTGGACATTTTTCTTGAATAATAACATTAAATTTGAAGCAGTGGGGGTTTTTCAAAGGAAACATTTTGGTTTGAGGGTTCACTAGTGGTTGTAGTGGGGTGATGGGCAGCTTTTTTGGCCTTGCAGGGTATGTCCTGAGTGGAAACAGCCGTTTGGGGTTACCCCAATTAATGTCCTTTAGGATAGAAGTGTGTGACTGGAAAACACCATCATCCTTCTAGCCGGCATTTGTGTGTATTAAGTCCCATTTTCTTTTTGGCTCCTTACTTTACCTCTCCTGGCCCTTATTTTTAAATCATTTATAGGCTCAGAGAGTGTTTAAAACAACAACCACAAACCTTTTAACGATCACATGGTCAGGCCCCTTAGGTTTACAGAACAAAATTTTGACACTAGTACAAGTTTTAATAAAAGACGTGCTGAAAGTGGCAGAGAAAATGTGTGTGTGCAGGAAATGCCAACAGCAGAACTACCCGCAAAGTTCTTGGTAATGACGTTCTGTATGTCTTTTCTCAAACAGGAATATATTAAATGAACACAATCTAGAGTTGAGAATCAGCAGATCTTTCACAGAACATGGTTTGGTTATCACCATGTTTTCTTCTCATTTTTCTTTCCTTCATGTTTTTTCAAAGTCTAAACTTGAGACCCTACAGTATTTTCTTGCTAGTTTTACCTTTTAAATGTTCTCATTTGCTTTGTCTGTATCATCTCCTTTTTATCTCTTTTGCTTTTGTAAGCTAATATTTTTGCAATTTAAGTATTTAATTATTCCAAAAAAATTGAATTTTTTTTTAAATCTTGAAAGTCAATATTTTAGAAAAGGCAAACTAAATTAAATGTAAGGAAAAATGTACTTGGACAGTTTTGGAATATTTAGCTGCTTTGTTTCAGCAGCTGTAGTAGACAGTTCTTTATGGTCACAACTCTTAGCCTCCAGTTGTTCAGGTGCAAGTAACGTAGCACTTATGGTTGATTAATAGTGCCTTTTGTTTTATGTATAAGATGAAGAGCAGTTCCTAAAGTAATGGATTAAGAATTGGAAGAGAGAGAATAGGAAATTGATTCATTTATTCAGCAAATAATTGCTTGATAAGGCAGAGCCATCTCCTTATATAGTACCCTGTATTTTAATGCAAAAGATGTAACGTTGTTTATCCTCTTCATATTAAGATGACTGAGTTAATGATGCTGAGATAATACATGTGAAAAGTGCTCAGGAAAAGTGGAAAGTCCTGTACAAAAGCCTGTCTTACTGATAGCTCAGTTTTATAAATATTTGTTGAGAATCTGTAAACAGATATTTGTGTTCTAAAGGCCAGCTGCTAGAATATTGAACCATAAGGAGAAATGTAGAGACAATGTGGAAAATGATTTATTCATGCTTTCCTTCTTGCAAAAATAACAAGGACAGGAACACATAACACAAAACTCTCCTTACCAACCACCAGATGGGGCTGTGGGTCATAGGCAGCTCAGTTGCTGATGCTGGAGAAAGGTAGGAGCAATATGAAATGAGATGTTCTATACATGGATAATTCATGGCATGGAGCAAAATATTTATCCCCATTTTCTAGGGATATCCCTATTTTAGACCTCCGTCTTTGAGAAGATTAGAAAAATTCAATCAAATTTGTTAGTGAAATATTCTGCTAGTCATTAGTAATTCTTCCATTTCTGGTGCTTGTAAGTTAATTTTTGTAGTGAGTACAGGTTCATTTTTCTGCATATGTGTGCCCACAGTTAAGAGACTTAGCATGAGAAGATTGTCCTTCCTCGCAACTCACCTTAAGTGTCACCTCCTTGCCAGAGCACCTCTTACCAACTTTCTACCAGACGGAGTTAAGCATGGTTTGTTCTTTGCTTTTTTTTTACTTTAAAAACTGTATTTTTATTAAGACTACAGAAAAATAGATCAGATATTTACGTGTGATTTATAAAAAAAAAAGCATTTTAGGATAACATTGTGATTGAGGGTGTTTTAAAAAAATCTATGAACATGTATTGAGAGCAATAATTTTATATTTTTACAGGTCTCTTCTATATGGTAATTTTTAAGGTATTTTCAAAGTTACTTATATATGAATGATTTCACTTCATTATGATTATTTTCACACGTTTGACAATAACTGTGAATACTGAATGTTTTTATTCTTTGCTTTTATTTGGCTGTTTATGCTCAGCTGTAGTTGTTTCCCTGTTGAATTTAAAACATGTATATATGTCTAAAAATTGTGTATACCCAGATACTCCCCCCCACACACACACATTCTGCAACTAATTCGGAGATTCTCAAGCCCATATATTATTTATATTTCTGTACCCATTCCTGACTGTAAAATTTGGCAGGTACTAGTCACAGAATAAGAAAGTTATAAACATTTGTAAATTATAGTTTTTTATTCACTATTTAGAGAATACAAAAGTATTTAATAGTTTTTGAATAGTCTTTCCCTGGAATGTAAATAAGCCATCAGGAATCATTCTACAAAATAATTGATTGCAGAAGAGCTTTAGAATTTACTTTAAGAGGATAAGATTATAGTATTAATAGCAAGAGCCATCTAAAGCTTACCTTATTATAGGTCCACTCTTACTGTATTGGATATGAGTTTTTTTTTTTAATTTTAATTTTGTGACTTACTTGAATTACATTTTTAATACATGAGTTGAAAAAAATAGAGTTAAATAAGTTTAAGTACTCTCAGGCCATCTTTGAGTAATAGGCCAAATTTCATTCTGTGTGACACAGTTTATGCAGAACTTAATGGGAAAATTTGACTTACTCTATTCAATTCAATTGATAGAAATCTGACATAGCCAACTTCAAAGTGAATTGTTTCTCTCTTTAGAAATAAATGTACTGATCTATAGTTTTTAGACTTCTGTGACAGTAAAAAATAATGTTCTTATAAGAACTTTTTCCTTATAAAAATAATACCCTAGTTGTTTCCCTGTGGGTAGGAATTTTCCATCTCTCTAATCTTGACCGGAAAAGTTTGTCCTGAGCAGCTTAGAAAACTAAAGAAAAATATTTTATCATCATCAACAAACATTTATCAAGTGTGTCCTATGGGAAGGTCACATCCCAGTCCCCTGAAACCCTCCCTCTCCCCCTTATCCCAAGGTAAGATTTCTGGCAGCCCTCTGGAAAGGAACCTTGACCCCTGAACTCAGAGGAAGGGAATTGGAATAGCTGAAGACCATATTTTAAAAGGCAGTCAGCTATTTTGTTTTGTACTGACCTGGAAAATTTGGTTAGTTTACTTTTACATACGTAGCATTTATAAAACAATAAATGAGAGGCAGGAGGCTGCTCCAGGTAGACATGCTTTGAAAGTAATACAGAACACGAAAAGATAGCTATGACAATACCAGAAATAAGTTATAATATCCCCAACCATAGTCTTGTATCATTAGTTGAGTTTGTACCCAAATTCAGCATTCTTTTGAGCAAATTATAAGGACATGGCCTATGGAGTTAGACAATTGTGGGTTCTAATCTCAGACGTACTAATGATATAATCATGAAAAAATGTATCCACTTGTTCAAGCCTTTCTTTTGTGTGTCAGAGCTATCATGAAAACAATTAGGCTATCCACCAAAACCAAAAATTAGCATGCTTTCTGTATAAGATGAGCAGAAGAACACTTAAAATTCCAAGCGGTAAACTGACAAGGAATAATGCCATTCTATTTACAAAAGAAGAAATAAACAACTAATGGACATGGAACAGTGTTTACCCTTACCTAATAACCCAAAATTCAAAATAAAAACAACAAAACAATTGCACATGCTTTAGCAGCAATTGGTAAAACTATACCACTAAACTGTCAATAAAAGCCCTCAAATAGGGACAGAGATCCAGAGGAGAAACAAAAATGACCACTTATATAATGTCAAGAAAGTTGTGAAGTACTGATTCACACTCTGTTCTCTTACAAGGAGGTTCTTTCTGAATTACTGTGCTTTGCTCCCAGTAAGAGTTCCGAGGAGTGTTCCTCTCTTAAAACTGGCAGCACCCACACTTACATTTGTATTCCCTGGACCTTTCCTTCTGCCTCCTTCGTTGTTTGGAAGTTATATTCTTACTCTTTCAACATTGCTGAAAGCAGCATAATATTGTTTGATATTTCTATATTTCTAATCTATATATTGATCCTACTTGCCTACTGCAGCTTTTGCCTGCCTTGGTATTTATTAGTGGATGCCTTACATTTTGAAATTTTAAATAGGAATTGTGGGAGGTTTTTTAAAAATTAACCAATTTATAGTTGACAGGGTAAGACATTTTCGTTCATTCTTATTAAAGCCTTTGTCCTTTCTTTGAAGTTTCAAACAGCCTAACAACTACAATTCTGCTTTAGTTTATAGCTAGAACTTTTACTGGTATGGAAAGCATTTTTATGGAGCTTTAACATTATCAACAAGATTCCCTTTTCTCTTGAATGTCTGAAAGACAAAACATTTGATTTAAAATTCCTACATGCAGAGGGAATTATGTATGTCAAAGCCTTTCTGTTTGTTTCTGTTTGTTGTAGAGGAGGTGTGAAGCACTATGTCATTAGTCACTGAGCCAGCATTTATTGTGTGCCTGTCCCGGCACTCTCCTGACCTGTTGGGCAGGGCCAGGGATTATGGAATGAGGATGAAGATGTCCACTGCACGAGAACAGTACAGACTAGCCCTGACCCTACCCCTAGCTGGAACGTGTTGTCCTGGAGGTGCGCACAGGGAGTGTGGGAGCCTGTGAAGAGAGCCAGGACCTTAACTGCTAAGGCCAACGGGAAGGCCTCGCGGGAGGGGCAGCATCTGGAGGGCAGAGGAATAGTTTTCCCGGAGGTGAAGGCAAGGATTGCAGGCAGAAGAGACAGGTGATCTAGGCACAGAGGCTAGAGTGTCCCTGGACTTTCCAGGATATTGTGAGTGGACTGGTACGTGCTCATCTGAGAGCTCCGGGCTACAGGTCAGTGACCGTGAGTGTGTGTAGTCAGGTAAAAGTGGCTCAGAGGGTTTCACATTCTCCGAAGAAACCCAGAAAATGTTTGGTTTCTCAGTCTGTTTGTGCCTTCGGGCTGGGCTCCGTGCACAGAGTCTGGGTGACATGTGCGCTTTGTGTCTCGGTCAGTGGTGATGAACCTTTTAGAGCTTTCAGTGGCACAAGCAGCCCACGGTGCCATGTGTGCCACAGGTTCGCCACCACTGGCTAGGTGATAGGCAGTGCCCTTCTGGTCCCTCGTGTGTGCAGCACATGTCAGTGTCGCCTGACATCCACTGTGTTGAGAATGGGTTCCTCTCATCACACAGCCACTGCACCAGGCTGCAGAGGAGCTCGCAAATCACACATCCTGTCTTGCGCTGTGCAGCCACGCAAATGCGGCTCCTCATAGTCCCTTTCATACCGGAAGTACTTTCTAAATATTTGGTGGCCGGGAGGTGGGCACACACTACCATGCACATGCAAATTGCACACATATTTATCCAGATAAGTGAACTACATGAACTTGGAAAGGGTCACATGGGTGGATATTTCTAAGATTAGGTAGGTAGAATGTAGTGACGGAAAGGTGTCTCTACAAACAAGGAAGGGGTTAGAAAGAGGCAGCGGACGACAGGAGAGTTTACAGAGTGCAGGAACTTGTGATCTGTGTGTGAACTGTCAAAATCAGTACATGAAAGATTTCTACTTTTCATATTTGTTTTTAGGTTTCATGTCATTTAGCCAGTTTTCTGGATACTACTGCAAAATTAAACTGTAAAGTGAGGTTCGCTGTGAGCTTTTCCAATTTTGCAGAGCCAGCTTTGCAGCAGATTCCCATCAGAGGGAAGGCACATGACTGAGAAATTGTTGAAACCAGCCAGACATCTTCAGGGAATTATGGGCAGGCTGTTTTCTTTTTAAGTGGCTTACAAAGCATTTGAGGAATGTCATTGTGGAGCAGAGAGCACATGCCCAACTGGTTCCCTTTTGGGGGAAGAACACTGTTTGGCACTTTCTTGTTTTGCTGAACCTGTGCTGCTCTGTGGCCCTCAGGGTTCCTGGATGGCTCTGGGGTTTCAGGTGCTGGAGGAAGCCATGTTCCACTCAGAGCTTCGGCCAGTTTCCAGTCCACAAGGCTCAAAAACTAGGAATAAGGGTGAGGGCATGAGTGGGGCTGGGAAGAGAAGTTAGAGGCCTTTCAAGAAAATTATACTTGGCCAGGGGTTTAGCTCAGCGAACGCAAGGTCGTGAGTTCGATCCCTGGCACCAACATAAATAAATAACAATTGTACTTTATTATCCCTATTTTCAGAGTCTCAGGTTTGGCCCTACTTGCCAAAGATCTTCTTCCCTTTATTCTGGAACTACTTAGAAACTACACTCTCCTTCCACTTTTCAAGCAAGGATTAGCAAGTGCTCTGTGTGAGAGCTGTACAGGTTCTTAGCCCAGACCCCAGGGTGGTGCCTGCTCAACGAAAGGGAGATGAGTGGTGTGTGCCTTTTTGCATTTGTACCCTGTCAGTTTGCCCTTCTGGAGTCAAAGTGTTTTGCACAGTGGTTACTTAATGCCCAGCGGACACAGCTGCAGCTCATTTAACCATCTATTGTGTGAGGTCCCATTTCCATTTTGTACCATGGGTAAACTGAGGGCTGGAGTCCTTATTTCAGCTGTACACCAGATAGATTCTGATAGATCTAGAACAGTGATGGCAAACCTTTCAGAGACTGAGTGCCCAAACTGCAACCCAAACCCCAATTGTCTGTCACAAAGCACCAACACTGCAATTAAACCTGAGTACTGAGATTTTATTTTAGAAAAAACATCTGTTGTCTGATGTTCAGCTGCTGGGATGACTTGGCTTGTGTGCCAACAGAGAGGGCTCTTCCTACATACAGCAGCATGCGTGCCGTAGGTTTGCCACCACTGATCTAGGACTCAAATTCAGGCATCCTTTTGTTTGCTTTCAATTTCAAATGTAATTCACCAGATTATACTGTTTTCTCTGCCTCAGTTATTAAAAATAAAATTTTATCTGTTAAAACTATCTCTTCAAGTCAATTATTCTTTCCTATAATGAAGCCTTTTGAGTTTATGGCCCGGCAGCTAGAAGTTGCAATAATTGACATAGGGATTATGTAGAAACTTGCAATGTTGGATTCGGCTTTCTTCATATTCCCTGCAGGAGGCAGAGAGAGGATCACCTTTGGGCTCACACCAGAGCAATGAGGACAAAGTGCGCCTGAAATGTCGGTCATACTTGGCGAGTTCCTTAACCTGTCTCAGCCTCGCATTTATCACCTATAGGCTGGGCGTGCTGATTAGTGGAGCTGACACCTGTGTAACTGAGAACACTTGTCTGAAGTACCCGCCCCACAGGTGAAGCATCAGGGTGACGGCTCTCGGGCACAGCCAGCTCTCTGCCAGCTCTCTCCTGCACATTGCTTCATTTCTTTTTCCCCACCAGCGGCCAGGTAATCCTCCTTCTCGTACAATTAAAACAGCGTTCATTGAGCACTGGAGTTTTTAAACATCTTGACTGAATATGACACTGCATTGGTGACATTTTGATAGCTGTCATTGCATGGTTTAGTTCCAACATCTTTCAGCACATTCAGAAGCATCAACCTTTACATGTTGGGGCTTCTCCAGCAGCAATTATAGCCATAAGTGAGGAAAAGCTATACATGTTCCCCTAAAATATCATTGAGATTTGTGTCATAGGCCTCTGGTGACAAAGACTTGTTTAACTGCAAGATGTCAGCGTTTCCCCCTTCAGATAAAATTAAACTATGGAATAGCACTCAGTCCTTACAGGGAAAAATAAATTGAGTTTTCAGTTATAAAAATATACACTATTAAAATGGGTATCAAATACTTTAATAATCTTGTAATGTGCAAGTGTGGACAGATAGGGTGAAGTACCCCAAGACAAGGCAGTGGAATTGTCCTTTTCAGCCAGCCTGGTGAAGGCCAGCTCTCCCTAGATGCCCCCCAGCCTGTGGCTCCTCCATGGCCTTCTTCTGAGTGGGCAGCTCCCTGGAGCCAGTGCTTCCTGCAGCCAGCTGAGCCGTGAGCCACAGGGGTTTAGAGTTAGCTTTGCCAACAGCCATGGGCTGCCCTTAAATCATTCTGTTCAGTATGGTCTCTGGTACTGCATGCCACGCCAGTACCTGGCTCTCCTGGAGGCTTTGGAGACCCAGAGAGCTACGTGCTTCTGGGAGGGGAGAAAAGGGATATTCTTCGGGCCTTAAGGCAGATGACAGACAGTGTGTCTAAGACATACGACTTAGGTGAGGGCAGTGCCACAGGTTTCAGGGTTTAGAATCCTGTGTGGATTTCACAAGGCTGGAGTTGAAGGTCTGGTAGAGAAGCAGAATGCAGTCATCCGATACTTACTAAACCAGTAGACAGTAAACACCGTGAAAACAAAAAATAAGTAAAACTGTGAGCCTTAGGACTTAGAGAAGAACGAGGCAAATTGCATGGTAGAGCAGGAGAAGATATGAACACTGCCAGAAAAAAGGTAAAGGGAGGGTCAGCGCCTGTCCCCACCGTGATACAGTGTGCATCCAGCCGTAGGATGGGCTGAGCTGACAGGCTTGAGTCAGAGACCTCAGCAGTGACCCACGTGGCTCTCTGGTGACATGATCAGGGGTCAAGGAGATGCCCTAAAGACACTGCCCACTGAAAGTCGGCAGATTATTCCCACCCTCCCCTCGCCCCTTTGCCATGCCTGGGCTCTTCTGCTCAGTTGGTGAGGTAGAAACTAAAATCATTAGAAATTGGAGTTTTCCTGAAAGGTCTTTTCTTAAGAGAAACCCCTAGACTCGGTAATCCATTTCAAGGGGCACATCTGGCACAAGAAAACACAGACTCTTTCAACTCAGCAGACCTCAAATCTTGATGCCAAGAGTCACGGGGAAGGCGAGTGACCCCGCCTGGAATGTGTGGTGTCTGGTCACTTCCACGCAGGCAGTAAAACACAGGAGTGGCAGAAGGCTGTGCACACACAGCAGAGCAGGGCTGCACATACCCTGGTAGTCACTGTCCCCTTTCATGTGGTTTTTGTTGTGTCAGCCGCACTGAGAGAGAGTTAGCTGAGCCCCTCTGGAGTTAGCCGAGTGCACCTTGGCCTGGAATGGGCCTCCTCCTGGCTTGTCTGAGCAGTGGAAGCACAAATAGCAGCCTCGGGCACATGAGGACACACACAGGCCGCAGAGCCTGTCAAGCACTCTGTCGTGCTCCGAATGAACAGATGTTTATCCCACAACATTTTTCTCCTCTTCTTGGGATTTGTCCAATGCATTAAAAAAAAAATCCAAACTGTTTACACTGGTGATTCTCTTTTGCTGCATTTGCTTGCGTTGTTTCGCTCTTTCCCATACATTAAGAGCTGTTGGCGTGAGGAAATTCTGCCCAGCTGCTTTCTGGAACAGGCCCTTCCATCGCTTAAACGAGGAACCCTTTGTTCTTGGACCTGAGCACAGCTCAGCTTGCCTTGTCACGTGGTTCTTGGCGCGGATCCCCTAAAGTTTATAGGCTTTTTAAAACCCATTTCCTTTCTACCCCCAAGATAATCAGCTTCCATGACTTTTGTTTGAGTAAATAGCTCCAGATCCCTTCATTGTTTCTGGTTCTCCCCCATGGCTTAGTAATCATTCAACAGTTATTAAGCACATACTTAGGTTGGTAAATATCATACCACTGTACGAGGCATTAAAAGAGAAACCATTTCTTCTTTTTGACTTGCTCATGTTTTCACTTATTTTTTCATTTCCTTCATTCAAGAAATATTTGTCCAGCTCCCACTGTGTACCAGGTTCTGCTCTAGGCACTGAAGAATCTGCGATAAGCAGAAACAGACCTGGTCTTTGCCTTCAAGGAATTCCCATTATAGTGTGGGAGAAAGACATTTGAAGAATTAATTGCAATTCAGAGTGATACATGCTATAATAGTAGGGTGTTCATGGTTCTTTGAGAAATGAGAAGGGTGTAATTGGCTCTGCCTCAGGCATCAAAAATAACTTCACAGAGTACTTCACATATGAGTATTCTAGACTGAGAAAATAGCATATATGGAAGATTATGTTTCGAAAATGGTACTTGATTCAATATCTGGAGTGCAAAGACAGGAGATGCAGCTGGAAAAGTAACTGGGTACCAAATGGGGTAAGGTCATGCTGCATGCCAAGTTTAGAAACTTGGAATAAGATTATAGAAAATGGAGGGGCAGGGTGAAGGCTTTTAAGCAGAGAAAAGGCACGCTCAGTATCATGGTCTGAATTATGTAGCCCCAACCCACAGGACCTCAGAATGAAGCTGCATTTGAAGGCAGGGCCTTACAGAGATTGCTAAGTTAGAATAAGGTCCTTATGGCGGGCTTAACCCAGGGGGCTGGTGTCCTAGGAAACTAGGACCCAAATATAGAGATAGAGAAGTCAGGGTGAAGACATGGAGAGAAAACAGCCCTCCACAAGCCAAGGACGCCTTAGGAAAAACCGGTCCTGCCAACACCTCGATCGCAGGCTTTTGGCCTCCAAAATCATGAAAAAATAAATTTCTTTTGTTTTGCCACTCATCTGTGGTATTTTCTTGTAGCAGTTCTGACAAGCTAATACACTCAGGTTTGTGTTCTTGGCTGTTTGGTTGGTTTTGTTTTTTTGAAAAAAGTTCTTGCTGTGCAGTTCAGGGTGGCCTTGAGCTCATTGTATGGCCCAGGCTGGTCTCCAACTGTCAGCATCTCCTGCCTCAGCCTCCCGAGTGCACATAAAGTGATTTGTGGTCCAGGGTCCTCTTTTTCCTCTTTGTCAGTTCATTGTTGATAATTGTCAGTGTACTTATCATTCTGAGAGGTTTATGTTTATGAAGTAACCGCAGGATGTGGAGGATGCTGGCTTAGAGAGGAAAGAAGTGTGAAGCAGGAGGAGCAGTAAGTTACAAGAGGCCATCGCCAAAGTCTAGGTAATGACACAGGGCCGAATGACCAAAGAGTGCACTAGCAAGTATCCTTTTTAACCAGAATAGTGACACCACAGAAAGGACCTGCTGGGGGTGGGTAGGTACATGCCAAAATGGTGTCTTTCCATTTGGACCACTTCACTTTGCTTTGTGTGCTGGGTGGTTAAGCTATGTTAGCTCATTGCAATGAGCTTTCTTGTCTCCTGGCTTTTGGTTGAGTTCAGCTGGAAGAGATTAGGAGGTAGAGAGACAATGAGAAGGGTTTGCTCTTTCCTGGCTCACTTCCCCCCGCTGTATTGGGCTCGCCATCGCCGCGATCTTCTCCCTGTGGCTGCAGCGCCATGCAAAGGCCTCTTCTGCAGCTGCCACTCTCCCTGTTTGGATGAATGATGTCTTCGTGCTTTGCTAACCCTGAGGTGCTTCTCTCTTCTTAAGGAATACGATTCCTTCATTAGAATGGTTAGTCTCCTTTTCAGTGACCCACCTATTTCTTGCCATGATGAATTTAAATTGTCTGTTGGATCTCCAGGTAGAGATACTGAGGACTAGTTGGAAATTGGAAATTTAGGATTAAAGACTTGGGAACAGGTCACAATGGAATAGGAATTTAGTATCTACATGTAAATAGGGTTAAAGCTATGAACTGCTGTTAATATAGTTTGAAAAGAGAAAAGGGACCTTGGATTGGAGGAGAAAATAAACTTTTCAGGAATTTGCTATTTTTTGGTAACAGAATCTTATGAATGCAACTCTTAATTTTGATTAATATTTTGTACAAATATATCCAAATATATTTTGTACAAATATATCCAAATGAATAATTCAGATTGAATATTCACACTAGTCACTAGTTGTATAGAAAGTGGTTTGATTGTGTCTTCAGGAAGGGGTTTAGTGCCAGGTGTGGTGGCACACGCCTATGATCCCAGCATCAGGAGGCTGAGGCAAGAGGACTGCTATGAGTTTGAGGTCAGCCTAGGCTACAAAGTGAGTTTAAGGCCATCTTGAGCTACATAGCAAAATCTTGTCTCAAAAAGACAAAAAAAGAGTCTTATAACCTGTAAATAGTGAATCAGTTTCAGACAGAGAGAGAATTTAGGTAGCATAACCTAGAAAAACACTTACATGCATCCTTAAAGGTTTCAGAAATATATTTGTAGGCAATCCATGTATTTAATAGCAGACTACTATAAATGTTGGTTAAGGCAGTTTGTTGAGTCTGTTTGGAAGGCAAATTTTGTTGGCTGAGATTTAGTTGCTGTATGTATTCCAAAGTAGTAAGCCTTTCTTACCTGTAAAATTGAGATAGTAATAATGTTCAGATGCTATGTGATTTTCCTGCAGTCTCATAAAATCTGCATTTCTACATCTCAGGATGGGTACCATTGATATCATCCTCATACTGATGTTGAATGAAACCAAGGCTTAGCGAAGTCAGTAATTTTCCCAAGGCCATAAGCTAATAAATATAGGAGCCAAATTTTTCTATTTATATAAATAAGTGAAAGTTTTTACTAATACTTGGAAAGATGCTCTTGGCCCCCTTCCAAGAGTTTGTTGTCACAGAACTCAAGAAGCCGAGTGCCCATAGAACTTCCAACATAGCATTCTCATGGCGTAGGCCTAGAAGACACCTTTAACAAACGTCTGGAACACACATGGTCCAACCATTGCATTAGAAAGATCAAAATTGCCCGAGTTGGTGGGTAGGACATATAATATGTATGCTTTCTGTCCTTCGGCTCGTATAAAAGTGGGAGTTTGTATCAAATTAAGTATGTTAGCCAGATGCTGATTGTCTTGGACTGCCATTTCTCATTGGCCCGTGTAATATAACCAGAGTACGTCTGGTACTTTTGTAAGGCATGGCCTGCTTATAAAACCAGCATGGATGTTTGCCCAGTCTATTTTGTGTGTTCACTGTCACTCCTAGTAGCTATGAATTTTTTCTTTCCATTTATTCCAGATTTTCCCTTTTGGGGTTCAAAAAGGTGAGGACCATGCAAAAATGAAGTGGTTTGTGGCCTGAGGTCCTTGTGTCCTCCGTGCCATTTCCTTGTTGAGAGTTATCAGCATATTTGTTATTCCCAGAGGACAGGAAGCTTAGTCATGAGCAAGTTTCTAATCAAACATTTAAAAAGGACCTGTCAAAAAGTTGAATGGCTTCAAGTCAGACCTGAAAATGTCGAGAAGATAGGATCTTCAGATTGGTTCCTTCGCGGCCCATGCGGGCACAGATGTAGCAGCTTGCCCTCCGGTCAGCATAGTAAGCCTCACTCCTGCTCCCTGAGTGAGGCAGCTCACTCACCACACTTCCAGAGGGCCAGGCGCTCTGTAGGCAAGAGTCAGCCTTCTCCCCCAGCCATCCGCTGGTTTGACACTAAAAGCTTCCTTTGTCCTTCTGCAGGAAGGCTCCCAGCTGTCTCATGAGAGAGTGAGCTCAGCTCCCATGAGTGGACTGCTGTGTATTCAACTGCTCACATTGAGGACGGGCTTTATTTAAAACTTTCAAACTGTAGTAAGGATTATGGATCAGTTTTTAAAAATACTTCTCTGAACCACATAATTGAAATGTATTTCAAGCTGTAGTAACAAAGGAAGCTCAAAGCATATTACTTTATTATTGTAGGTGTCTTTGATTAAGAGGAGGAATATTTTCCTCTAAAGACATTTTAATTTTACTTTAAGAATAACCAATGTTGGTGGCATTGTTTCTTGTTTATCTATTCTGGAAGATGATTTGACAATAGATATTTAAAACTTTCAAAATGCACATACTTGCCGTTCCAGGCTTTCGGTATCATTAATATAGTTTTAACCTAACTGAGGTGTTTTAGATGGCAAGCATTTATTCATCTATCTTGCTGTCCTTTATGACCTCTTCAGAGAAATAATCTAAATATCCAGGGATTAGATAAGCATCACAGAACCCTATCAGGCACTTGAGATAACTAGTGGCCTGGGAACGTATTTCTAATGTAGAGCATTCTGGAAGACTTAAGCTTTAGTAATTTTAGAAGCATAAATACTTCAAACTTTCAAAAACCATTATTTGCTTAGGCATGGGTGTGGTGGTGCACACGTATAATACCAACACTCAGGAGACCTGGCAGGAAGATCACTGTTGGTTTGAGCACAACCTGGGCTACAAAATGAGTTCAAGGCCAGTCCAAACTGCATAGTAAGATCCTGTCTCAAAAAGAACCCCCTAATCAAGCATGGTGGTACATGCTTTTGTGATCCCAGCACTCAGGAGACTGAGGCAGGAGAATTGTGGGTTCAAGCCCAGCCTGAGCTACAAAGTGAGCTCAAGGCCAGCGTGAACTGCATAAAGAGCTCTGTCTCAAAACAAACAATCTAACTAACTAAAACAAAAACCATTATTTGAATAAATTTATATTTAGCATTTCACTTTGTAAAATTTGGATAAAATTTGAATTTTGTTTGACTTAACTAACAGTTAACATTTATCAAAGAGATTTAAAATTAAGTGAAAATTTATTTGTTTTAAAATTTTTAAGTAATATGTATTTTATAATGTCAAACAAATTTTAAAACAAGATAAGTAAGGGTAACAGTTTGTTAAAGCAGACTTTTCAAAAAACAAGTACAGCTTGATTCTATTTATACAAATAATATGCATTGGAAATTTTAAAAAGAAAGCCTGAATTAATAGTGACTTTCTTTGAGTATAACTTTTTAATTTTTTTTCTTTGCTTTTCTCTATTTTTCAAGTTTTCTACAATGAACATGTATGCCTTTCTATTCCAAAAAATATTAAAATTTGTTTGAAGAATAAAGCCAATATTTTGATTTAACTCTGATGTCCAAAGTTTCATAATTAGTGTGTATAAAAAGCAAGAATTATTAACTTCATCTCTCAATTGCTATTAACATAATTAATTTAGCTACTATTGCTGAAAATAAAAAACAATTAAAATATAAGAAATATTCCTGCTTAAAGTAACTTTGAAAAGCTGTGCTCCATATCTTTAAGTTTGATTGATAATATCACGTTTTCTTAAAACTTACTTTTAGTTGTACATAAAGTGAATAGCTATAAAGGAATATTAGAGGGCTTTTTCTTGTTACTCTTTTATATTTTGTCATTCTGAGAGATTAAGCAAAGATTCATGAGTAGAAACTTTAGGGGAAAAGAATTTAACTTCATAAGAAATGCATTTTTTCCTCACATTGAAAAAATATTTTTAAGGTAAAGAAAAAGCAAACCGGCCTGGGGATTTAGCTCAGTGGTGTAAGTGCCTGCCTGGCAAGCATGAGGTTATGAATTTGATCCCTAGCACCAAAAAAAAAAAAAAAAAAAAAAACCCGAAAAAACAAACAGGATAAAAGAATATACAATTTAAAGTAAAGGACATGGTATAAAAAGACATGTGCTTCATTTCTCCAGCCTCAGATCCTTAATTTTCCAGTTCCCCTTCACAAAGGCGACCAGTTAGTTACCTGTGACTTCCTGTGAAGGCACAAGTGCATACAAACTATCCTGACATTTGTCTGACAGTGTACTTGTAAACTATGCAATGGCTTACTTGATTTTTTTTTTTTAGGTTTACGCATCTTAGAGATTCAATTGTATTCATAATGTGATTTTTTAAATCAGATCCTTACTGATGGACATACAGTCTTAGCTCAGTCTTACACAGTTAACAGTGTCTTTGTACATACCCTGAAGGCCACTGATCACAGTCACACCTAAACTGGGGAGAGGTGATGGTGAGATTCTCATTTCCCATCAGGACTTGGTGTTCTTCAAAGGCTTTTTTCCTATACAGTAGATTACTTCACTTGACTCATCTGTCTTGGCTTTGGAAATAGACTGGTCTCCTCTGCTGGGTGTGGGCAAGCCTTGCGTGTTTACAAGGTTACCCAGAAGAGACATGTCCCTGAGTGGTTAGGGGCGCCATCTGGCTAGCAGGTGAAAGACTGAGGGTGTTCTTTCCGGTTAGTATGTCTTCTCAAAGTAATGGCACTCTTGTAAGCAGTTGGCTTTCTTACTAGTACTATCTGATGACAGGACAAAGGAAGAAAATTTCCTTGTGTTTTCATTGTTTTTCATGTTTATTGCCTTTTGCTTATTTTTAATCAGACTTTTTTGGTTGATATTTTTCTTTATCCCTTGATTTAGTTGACTCCCAATTTCATATTAATTATGTCACTTATGATTGCGGGATTGTTACTGGGGTCTAGGATGCCTTAGGCTCCCTAGAGATTCTTTCTATGTTCTTGTTGTCCCAAACAAAGAATTGGACAAGACTAATGACAAAGCAGCAAAGTTTCACATTGGTTCAAGGTAAGAAAAGAGGTGTGCTCTGCAGAGTGTGGAGCAGGCCCCGGAGGAAAGGAGAGCACAGAGGCTACAAGGTTAACAGCCACCATCTTTTACCCCCTAGATGGCTCCAGCTCTAGGCTGTCCTATCAGAAACCTGCTTGATCTTGTGCATTGAAGAGTTGAAGGCAGCACCGCCTTACATATTGGTCCTGGATACATGGCCTGGAAACTGGGTTCTGTTTGTGTGTCCTGGACTCCATGATTGACAGCTCACATCCACGTACCAGCCAGCTGGCCAGGCCTTAATCTGCCTCAGGCTGGCTCCACTCAGTTTATATGCCACATGAAGTATTTAGCAATTTTTAAGAGACGTGTCAATGAAGGGTATAGCTTGGGACATTATTCTCTTCAAATTAAAGTTCATTTTCTTCTCTTTGGTTAACTTAGGAACAACAGCTATTTGATTTCTGTGTATGTAATTTTAAAACAAAGGAATTTCTTAACATGTTGCATGCTATTTAGAGTTTTTAGGGATATGATTAAAGTGGAATAGAAGCCTTAGGAATTTAGGAACTATAACCCTGCTGAGCACTACCTACCCCGTCTGTGTTTTGCTGTGTGTGTGTGTGTGTGTGTGTGTGTGTGTGTGTGTGTGTGACACACACTATTTAGGGTATGAGCCTTAGTGGAATTGGGCATTCCTTTTTTGTGGATATAATAGCATGATTAGATGTGTGTACATTCTTAGAGATTTACAGATCAGCATTTTTAATAATATACATTTTTTTCTCTTTTTAATTCTTTCATATTCATTGAGGTTTTGTTGTTTGTTGCTTTTGGGGATTTTTTTTTTGTTTGTTTTGCTTTTGTTTTTGTTTTGATATTTTTGAGACAGGATCTTGCTATGTAGTCCAGGTGGTCATGAACTCACTGTATAGCCCAGGCTGACTTCCAGCTCATGGTAATCCTCCTGTCTCAGCCTCCTGTTGAGATGACGTGTGTGCAACCACAACCCACGTATTCATTGTATTTTATGCATCAGAAGGGCAACAGCAAGCTCTTGTGCATTTGGAGGATCACCTCTGTAGAGTCACAGACAGGAGACGCCTGTCGGTGTGTTTTACTGTCTCCCTTCCACTCGTGTCTTTACCCTGAAGGCACCCATCCTGTTTTGTCTCCTTCCCTGTCCTCCTCCTGTGACTCCTTCAGACAAGAAGAGCACTGTACAAACTCTGGGCCAAAGGTCTGGGGCTGTGGGACTGTGCCCAGGCATGTCTGTTTTCCCCAGGTTTTCTAGAGCTGTCCGTTCTGTCAGTTGATATTTCCCTGCAAAGAAAACCTTGACTCAGCAAGGTGTGGTTGTTCTTGGCATACACCACATGTGCATGCAGCACGTGTGTGCGCGTGCGTTAAAGGAATCAACAAGTGTTTCTCTTCTAGTCCCTTGTTGAGGAGAAAAGGAAATCAATTAAAAAGAATCATCAACAGACCTTTCCAAATGTACTTTCTGGGACTTGGTAATTAACTTATCTTTGAATATCTGTAACTTTGTGTGTTAGTTGATGCAGGCTTTCAAAGAGAATACTATAGATTAGATGACCTAACCAACAAAAGTCCTCTTCTTGGAGTTCTGGAGGCTGGGAAGTTTAAGATCAAAGTGCCGGCTGCTTGATGGTTGGTAAGGCCCCCTTTCTTGGCTTTGCAGAAGGCCACTTTCTTACTGTCTTGGCAGAGTGGACAGAGCAAGCTCTCTGGTGATTCCTAAAAAGGACCATAGATCCCCAAAGGAGCAAAGCCTCACCCTCAGAACCTCTTCTAACCTTGATTGCCTCCCCAGAGCCCTGTTTACAGATACCATCACATTGGCAGGGAGGATTTCAACATTTAAATTGGGGGTGGAGGAGGCTTCACTCGAGGACATTTCCTTTGGGTTGGCCTTACCGAGATTGCTCTGATATGAGTTCTCATTTATTTTTGAAAGATACTAATTGACCAAAATGCACTAATGCAGTATAAATAAACGTCTCTTTATCTTTTGCCCCTTTGGTGTATAAAATTCACCACAGTAGTTCAAGCCTTTAAGCTTCACCAGACTTTAGGACTAGGCAGCCAGATGCCCCAAATCCAAACAACTGACAAGGGAACTTTAAAAACTAGGTGTAGTACCTGGGATATGCTGGGGTTCTGAGCGCTGGGAAATATATTTGTAGCCATCAAAGCAAATGTGGTGAACCCCGCACAGGTCCAGTGATCTGACCCCCAGTCACTGAATACAGCAGGGAGCCAGACTTCTGAACCCCACTGACTGGCGGCAGTGTGCTCAGGCTGATTTCTTCACGGCACCAGCATCCCCAGTCTTCCCCTGCTGTTTTTAGATTTTAATTCAGTAGAGTCTTAGATGCTAGATTGATGTGACAGTGTCCTTTCTATTTGATTTATCGATGCATCATTTGACAATGTGCTGCCAAGAAAACACTGACAGCTCTGTATTGCCATGAAAAATTCTGACAGCTTTAAACAATCCATGGTACAGGTTGGTACATGACCTTTGGATTTGCAAGCTTTGGACATAATCCAGAAGAAAATAAATTAAAACCAGATTGAGAAATAGGATTTTTAAAGTTTAAGGGAATTAGAATGAAGAGAAAAAGATTAATAAATTCCTTTTTATACAGATATTCAAGTAAAAAAAATTGTTGAGGGACAAGGTCTCTTGCTTTCGATTAGAATAGGACTTTCTAGCTACTTTGTCTGGGAAGCACGATGCTCTAAGGAATTGAAATTTCCCCACTAGTGTGCGTAATAAAATCAGAAGTTTAGGACTGCGTTCTAAGTCTTTGGGAGGGTCATCTGTTCATCTGTTAAACAACAGGGGAAATAATAATGAATAGAGCAGACGGGTACTCCTGCTCTCATGGAGATCCCTTTCTTGCCTGTAGAGGTAGACAAAGAGTACGTGGATAAATGTAAACTAGGGAAGAGCGTGGATGTACCAGTGCAGCATGAGGTGGTTTTGGATAAGACAGGGGAAAGGTTCACTGATTAAGTGACATTTGAGCAGAAAAAGGGGCTGCGAAGCTCCACGGAGACTTAGAAAGCCAAAGACCCAGAGTGGAGCCCACTGCCTGTGATCTGGGGTCCTGCGTGGCTGGAGCCTTTGCATGGGAAGGAGACAGAGCAGAAGGCGGGCAGCAGTTCTTGTTATGTCAGGTCCTCTGGGCCTCTCTTGCAAGACTGGCTTTTACTCTGAGAGCTGGGGGCGGAAGTGGTCATTGCAATGCCTTAAGCAGGGGAATGGTGTGAGCCAACTGTCATTTAACACGAGTACACTGATTGTAGTCATGAGAATACATGGAAGGGTCCAGTGGAAGCCAGGAGACCATGTGAGGAGGCTTCTGCAAGGATCCTGGTGAGACCTCTAGCTTTGAGCAGTGCAGTGGCACTAAGATAATCACCAGCAGGTTTTTAAGCATTGAAACAGTTGATGATTGGCCAATAGATCGTGTATACAGTAGAATTAAGATGATACTAGGGTTTTTATTTAGTTGGTTTTCGTTGGTTCAAATAGAAGAATGGAGTTGTCCTTTATTGAAATTAAAAACTACAGGAAAAGCATGTTTGGTGATGTAGGACCAGGAGTTGGGTTTTGAATGCATTAAGTTTTAAAAATCTATTAGACTTCCAAGTACATGTGAAACATAGGCAGTTGGATATGTGAACTATCACTCAGGATAGAGCTCTGCCCAGATGAAGCATAGTGGTGTTATTGGTAGGTAGATGGCCTTTAAAGTGATGAAACTAGATGAGCTCATGTAGGAAGCAATGTAGATGGAGAAGGGAAGACAGAGTCTGAGTCCTGTAGCTCCGCCACTAGCCCAGGGCAAAGGCCACTGCAAGTCACCGGTCAGCGGACTTCTTCTGTCTGCCGTGCTGCTCTGCTGGTGTGATGCAGAGGACGGAGACAGGACGCAGACTAAGGAGTGCGGCTGTGTCCAGTAAAACTGTGCAACACCAGGCAGCAGGGTGGGTACGGCCTGCACACTGCGTTCGCC